AGAAGCAGCTATATGATTCCAGATGCTGGCAGGGCGCCAAAGGTTCCGCGGCAGAAGCGCTCGCAGCAAGTTCTGAGCGCGAGGACCTGGCGCAGGCGCACGTGATACGTGCGCGTGCGTGGGTGGGTGCGATTGGGTGGGCAGGAATGTGCGTGCGTGCGTGCGTGCGAGGTATGTGCGTACGTGCGTGCCTGCGTGCGTGCGTGCGTGCTTGTGTGTGTGTGTGAGAGATTGTGTGTGTGTGATTGATTGTGATTGTGTGTGATTGTGTGTGTGTGTGCGTGCGTGTGTATGTAAATAGTTCTGATTATTATTGGTTATTTCATGTTATTTCATGTGATTTCTAAGTATTTCTATATATTTCTATGGTTTGATCGGTTGTTGCATGTTGTTGCACTGCGAAAGAAGCCACCGGTCTGCTCCATGATTTTCCAATATTTTCCACGATGCGTTTGCAGGGCGCTATCTGCGCTTCAGCGAAGCATCGTCAGCTGCGCAGAAGGACCCAGTGCAGTGCAACTTGTTGAGCAGTGTAGCAAGATGTAAATTCATGTAAATTCAAGACAATTCAAGTAAGTGACAGTAAGTGACACCCGCACAGCTCTTGCTCAGCTTCCCCAACTGTGCCTACACCGCGCTTGCGCTAGCCAGGACTGGAGCCCGCATTGAAACGGAGGCGGGCCGCCTCCCTGCAAGGTCGACTGCATCGCTGCAAAATAATGCAAAATATTTTCTTTTGTAGCACGCAAATATGTGTGAATATTTCTATGGTTTGATCGGTTGTTGCATGTTGTTGCGCTTCGAAGGAAGCCACCGGTGCTCCTTGAGTGCCTGTGAGATGCTGTGAGGGTTTTGCATGGTTTTGCAAGATCTTGCAAGTGATGCTGTGGGAGGCCGTGGGACACATGATGACATATGAGTTCATATGATGACATTTGAGACTTTCTAATATTTTCTATGATTTTCCAATATTTTCCAATATTGAAATCGCTACACGGTCCGCCGACGCCAGTGGGGTGCAAGGGATTGAGACCTTTTTTCCTTTCGTGGAAGTCTGAAAGTGCCACAACATGCCACAAAAAGGCCTTCCTCAGTCAGGAAACATGCCCCATGCTGGGGATGTGGGGAATTGCACTGAATTGCATGGAATTTCCAAAAAACACTCACTTTTGCAAATTCAGCCAGCTCCCAACGTATCATTGCACTTGGCCCCACCCGGACCGATTCCAACATCGCTTGAAACAGCAAAGCACCATTAGCATCTGCAAAAAAAGGAACACATTCATAGCAGCAAGTTAATCCTGATGATGCTGGGGATGCTGCACGTCCGGGGAAACCCCCCTCCCAGGAGACCTAGAAGAAACGCAGGTTTTTAGCAGAAAGCCGCAAACACATCCAAAAACATCCAAAATACAGGGTTTTGTGGACACCCAGCGCACCATGCATGATTTTTCCCGTGATGCGTTTGCAGGGCACTATCTGCGCTTCAACACATGCTTCAACAGAAGAATCGTCAGCTGCCCAGAAGGACCCAGTGCGGTGCAACTTGTTGAGCAGTGTAGCAAGATGATGCAAGATGTACATGTAAGATAATTCAAGTAAGTGACACCCGCACAAGCTCTTGCTCAGCATCCATCAGCTTCCCCAACCGTGCCTACACCGCTCTTGCGCTAGCCAGGACACAGGCGGAGTCCGCATGGAAACGGAGGCGGGCCGCCTCCCACGTGCGCAGAGTGTTGCAGAGTGACATAGAGTAATATAGAGTATCATAGAGCGACACAAGATGCGAATGCGAGCAAATGATGCACACGCTTCTTCTCAGCTTCCCGAACTCTGCTTGCACCGCGCTTGTGCTAGCCAGGATGCAGACGCAGCCCGCACTGAAAAGGAGCCTGGCCATCACCTGTGTGCACGCATGTGTGTCAGCATGTTGGCGTGTCCCATCCAGAAGATTCCAGAAGAATGCGCCAGCCGAGGAGCCAGAGGACACTTCGCAGTCTTGTAGCCAGATTGCGGCGACAAGTGGGTCACCCTCCACACCAGCGCCGAAGGCGAAGACGTCAAAGGTGAAGGCGCGTGATACTTTTCTCATTTTTTCTCTCTCTTGGCAGTGCTACACAAGCCTAGGGCATCCTAGGGCATTCTAGGGCACAAGGGTGTTTTGTGGAGTTATGTGGAGTTACGTGCAGCCTGCGGCGTGAGTTTGTTTTGCCTTGCAAAAGCTACACGTCCCTATCCATGGCCCGACTCATGAGCTTTCCCATTCCTATGCAGGCAAAAAATTATAAGGCAAGCGCGAAGGCGGGGTGCCGAGGGGTCGCAGCCTTCTGCTTGTTGATCCACGATGATCTACCTCAATCCTGTCGCACGCTTCGTTCCAGCACGCAACAACTACAATGGTCATAGGTAAAAGATGGTCAAAGATAGGCTCAGAGCAACATAGAGCAACGGATGTCCAATTATTACTATTTTCTTGGTAGGGGAACACTCAGTGCAGCCCAACTATGCTCTGTCAATCTCTGTCACACACACACACACGAAAGCTGTGCCCGTGTAGGGTGCGGTTGAATGCTGCTTCCAACGCGCAGGCCAAAGTCAAGGCCAAGGCAGAGGCAGCGGCTGCAGAGACGCCGGATATGGAGAACATCATGAGCGGAGAGAACTTGGGCACGCTGCTGGCCTTGACAAGTGGAGAGCGCGCGGAGGTGGCGCTTTCTGACGATGATCAACCCATCGAGCAGGCTGCCAAGCGAGCCAGGACTGCAGAGGAGCCCTCCAACGGTGCCGGCTTTACTGAGGAGGAGGCCGGACCGTTCCAGAATTATCCGGAATTTTATAGAATCCCACCCTGTTCCGCCATATTCCTTTACTCGCCCTTATAAGGCCCTGAGCGCGTCTTGGTGTGTCTTAGATTGTCTTAGTATGTCTCAATATGTCTCAATATGTCTGAATATGTCTCAGATTGTCTCAGTACATCTTCAAACATAGGGCGTGCCCCCCGCATCTCGTTTGTATCTGGTGCCATCTTGTGCCCAATCAAAGCACATTCTGAGCACTTTGCGCTTGGCGTGCCTCAAATTATCTCAGATTGTCGCAAGAATCTTAGGATTGACCCAAAAATATCAAAAATGATAGGCTTTGCTTTTCCGATTTCTAATGGTTCCAATGGTTTCCGCAATTTTCCAATAGTTTCCACCATTTTTCACCATTTTCCACTAATATCCATTAATGACTGTAGGGGGTTGCGCATGTCTGCGCTGCACGTCAGTTTCCCCGAGGTGCCCTTGTTTCTTTATGTTTCTTTATGTTTCTTTATTGTCGCTTTACTGTTGGGTACTTCTGCTTCAAAGCATTTCAATTCCAACGTTTTCCTTGGCTCCCCCTTCATTTCCCCTTCATGTTGTTTTATTTCCATTTATATCCTTTTATATCCTTCTATCATCTTTTATCATCATTCATCATCTTTCATCATCTTTCATCATCTTTTATCCATTCATTTCCCTGTCCTTTTCCAATGTCCCACGCATGTCCCCTTCATTTCCAGTCAGCTCCTTCCCCTTCACTTCCGGTCATTGCTGCTTCCCATCCCCTGCATGGCCTTGCGTTTCCCTGCGCTTCGCCGTCACTCCCCCCCTTATGCATCTCATTTGTGTTATTTTGCGCTTCTCCTTCATTTCATGTTTTATTTCCCTATTTTCCCCCAAAGTTTCTCCGTATTCTGCGATGTTCTGCGTCTCCGCATGTCTCCGCACATGTCCCCTGCACTTTCCCCATGTTTCCCCTTCATATCCGGTTTGTCACTTCGTTTTGCCCGGCAAAACGATGCCAACAATATCCAAAAAGAACGGTGTCTTTCAGCCTGAAGGCCAAGAGTACTGACAAGCGCGAAAAGATGCGAAAAGGCATGAAAAGGCAGCCGAATTGTTTTCCTATGTTTTCCTATGTTTTCCTATGTTTTCCTATGTTTTCCTCAAACCCTACCTAATTGACGTGTTTCCGGGGGGTCGTCCTCCATCCTCTGATAGACATCCGACATGCCGAACAATGTCGGCGGACACGTTCATCAAAGTCCTATTCGTGTATGGACCCATATGGACCCCATGGTGTTGGCCTTCCTCAAGCTACTTGCCTAGCAAACTTCCTCAGGGTTCGCCCCTCAGAAAAACATGGCTCCAAGTTTGTTGCGGTTTTCCATGGTTTTCCTCAAAAAAGTTCCCATAGGACATTGCATACCCTCTGCGTGTTTTGGCAGTCTGGGGCGCCAGGCACGACGTCTGAGCACGCCAGCAAACCAGCTGGTCGTGCCTTTGGGAGCACGCTGAGTTCTTGAAGAGCGAGCCGTTGTCTGCCATTGTCAGTGTTTCACAGTTTCTGTTTGTTGCCTGCGGCAACGGTGTGGAAGCAAATGGAAGCGATCAGTGGTCTGACACTACAACCAACAAAGTCTCACGGCTTTCGGAGGTGCGCGCAGAAAGTTGCGCCATATTGCATCTTTGGCTTCTTGATGTTTCTTGGGGGTTTCAAGGCCTCAAACCCCCCGAAATAAATGAAAGCTGCTATGGACCCCCCCGTCCATGTGAAATTCCACCCCCCCCCGTCCACCCCCTTTAAGGGTGGGGCCATTGTCTCTTTGGAGTGATGCACGGGGCATATTTCCCCTCAAAAGGTGATTCGGGCCAAACAGAGTCAACCAGGGGTTTGCTTGATCCTTGTCCCATCGTATTGTATGCACAAAATCCTTCAATGCCTGGCCTGGGTTTTGTGCACTGCATGTTTGTTGGCGGAGGGCATTAGAACTTAGTCTGTTCCTCACTTGCTTTTCTCGATGCTTCAGTTCCTTCCCAACATGATTGGTGCTCCATGTGGTTTCGCTTCAAACCCACTCCAAAAAGGAGGCCACAACTCTCAAAAACGACAGTCAAGTACCATTTGAATTCAGAGATTCAGTTCCTTGGTTTCCCCTTTACTTTCCCTCAGTGCGCCCTCCGACGCGCTCGGAGGTTCGATTTCCCGGTGGAGGTCACTGCTGAGAGCGCCTCCCACCACGGCAAGGTACTGCCGCGCTTCGCGGGGTGCGAATGTTCGCCAGGGAAGAACTGGCAGCGCCGCGAGGCCCAATTTTTGGGCGCGGGATTTTGAGAGGGGGGGGAGCGTGAGGAGAGGCTTGGAAGGGATGCTTTGAGGGAGGGGGCTGGGCGCTGGGTTCGTTCACTTTTGAGGGAGTAGAGTTGGCGCAAACGCTACTGGTAAGAGAGACCAAAAAAGAACAGTCGTTTGAACAGTGAGGCTAGTCCTGTTTAAAGGATGTAGGGGTTGTCCAACCCCGCACCTGTTTTTGACCTCCATTTTACCTGGCTCCGCCCAGGGGGATTTCTTCCCAGTCAAAAGTTGCCTTGGCGTTCAGACTTTAATACTTTGGGGGCTCGAAAAAAAGGTGGATCATCAAATGCGCAAGCATCGGGGGTAGGGTTTGCGAAGCCACTTCCCGAAACAATGAGATAGCAATGAGCACCCGTCCGCTTGCAGAATGTTCAGCTGCAATGTGCAGAGCTCACCCCAACGGGTCACCACCATCGCCAACCCGCCAAGTGAAGCCCATGTCAACACGTTGGTCCATGTCTATATCAGTCTATTCGCTGCTTCCTTGGCTAACACGGCCCACCAGTCCTGCTCGGTGCACCCAAGGCTTCTACAGCACCTTCCACATCGATCACAAGCAGAACTGCGCTACGAAACTGACGCAGAATTCATTGGCTTTAAGGCTTTAAGATTGGGCTAGGCTCCGTGACTTGCCTTTGGCAAGCCGTCTTTTTTGTCGCTTGGCGTTCCGATTTGTATGCAGTGGCCCTGCGACATGTATGACTAACTTTGAGGGCTTTCAGCCTGAGCCTCAAATCCAAGATGGCGTCCACTACCCCCAAACCAAGCCACTTCGCCAAATTGTAAAACGGGATATGACACCGGTACAACAACCCTGCATAAAGATTAGTGCTCGTGGCTGCAAACTTAAGCAGCTGGGGCTACGCAGGTTTTAGTGTTTGTTTCCCTATAATTATACCAAGGCGCCATTTTGGGCACCATTTCTTGAGCCACAGCCATCCCATCAACGCCTCGAATTTCGAGGATGGAAGAGGGCGTGCAGGTGAACGTCTGGCTGAACCTTTCGGAGCGTCCCATCTCAGACTTCCACCTGGGCTTCCTGGAGCAGCGCGGAGCCATGCTGGCGGGAAAGGATCTGCCGCACCTCACTCAGGAGGACCTGCAGGAGGTGAGGAAGCTGGTTTGCCTTTGGACTCCCCTTAGGGGGGATTTCTCACCCCCTGGATCTGCAGGAAGTATCCCCCACACTACACGCGGCTAAGCCATTACAAAATACCCTCCAGAGAAAAACGCCCTTTCGCGGGTGCCATGTCAGCGGGAGGAAGAATAAGTGTCCGTCATACTAAGGGCCTAAGCAATTTGAATTTGGTAGTGGGTACCGTGAAACCACCTGAAGCAATGATAATAATCCGCTGGTGTTGGAGGGACACCACCAAGCAACCAACGATTGTTGAAGTGATCATCCAATAATCATGCCAATTTGTGTACTTCTTTAGCCTACTGTGGATGGACAACATCCTGCACCAGTTGCGATGGTTGAAACTTTATGAATACTGGGAGAACCAATCTATAAACTGGATCAGGATTTCGTTGGGAGTGTACTTGTTCCTCACTTGCATTGGAGGCTTCGGTTCTTTCCTGAACAAATGGTTTCCTGTTGGTTTCCTGCAACTCGGCCCTAAAAGGGTATCCACATGTATCCACCACACATGTCAAAGGGGACCTGAGAATACCAAGCCTTAAAGCTGATGCTGTTATCCAAAAACCACCCGCCTTGGCTGGGGGCAGGGCTAACATTTGTGCCTTTTTCTGCAACAACTCCTTATTCCCCTCTCCCCCCACTCGCACCCCCGAACCCCCACCTCCCCTTCCTCCCCTTCCCCCCCCCTTCTGGTCAGGTGGCGGTGCGTTACCAGGCGCTGCTGGGCAAAGACGAGGCGCTGATCTTCCAGTCCACCGGCGCCATGTCGGTGGCCCACGGATCCTTCCGCTTCCAAAACGAGCCGCTCGCACGGCCAGACAGGGCGTGTGACGCACTTTTGGAGGGCACCGGTGCCAGTGAAACCAACATATTGAAACCCCATGGGTGGGAGTTTGTAGGTTAGACATGGGTGTTTGGGAGGGAGAGAGGGAGAGATGGGTGTTGATCATGGGCTTCGGTTTTCCATTGAGTTGCCCTTGAAGATTGTGGTTTCAAAGGGGGAAAATTGAGGGTATTGATTCTTGGTGGAAAGAGGCTTCAGCTTTCCCTTTTTAAACACATCCATGTATGCTATCTCTATCTCTCCCCTATTGGTTGTTTTAAACTTTTTGTTTGGGCAAACTTAAGGTGAGTTTCCCGTGGTGGGAGTGATGTTCTTGTAAGGGCGATATATATATATATATATATGTACACATCTATGTGTTTTTTGGGGCTCGGTAGTTACCCTGTATTCTTTCAGGTCAGTTCAATGCGAACCACAAATTCATCTGCTCCAAGTTCTTATTGCAACACACCCCAAACAATGAACTTGCGTTTGCCTTCAATGCGTAACCCCTGAATTACCGTGACATGAATGTCAGCCCGGCGGGGCAGGCAAAAGCTGACCCACGAGCCACGCTACTCCTTGGAGTTCCGACTTCTGCTCCGGCGAGTCTCCTGAGAGGGCGGAGAAGTTGAACGGAGGCAGGGCACTTAAGAGGGCTGGCGGCCGGAGAAATGCAGCCACTTGTGTTGGATGTGCCCATGATGTTTCCAGGGTTAAGACGTTCGAATTCAAAGCCCAGGGGACAGTGTTTGCACCTGAAGTCTGCAGGGCAAATTTGCGACTGCGAGATAAAGTGTGGGGAGGTTTGAGGGATTTAGATGCTTTCAAAATCAAGACTTGTGGGGCTACCGATCTTTGCCGAAACAGCACAGATGTCGAATCGCAGGCTTCCGAAGGCTTAAAGGGAGAGTTTCCCGAATTCAAGTGGTGGGTGATTTTCACCACCGTTTCTGGGTTGGCTTAATTCAAAAGGGAACTTGGGGAAAGTCGCAATTGTTGGGTCCCCCATTTTGCCACAGGGCCCCAAGTTGCCACAGGGCCCCAAGTTCGAGCACTCCGAGTGCCCAGCAGCCCGACGGATGCGATGAAGGCGCCATGAGGCCATGGCTGCGGTTTGAGTCGCCGAGACTCACCGCCTGAGGCGTGCAGTAACCAGCTGGGCTACCGAGTTTTGCGCGCACACATTTGCAGGTGAGTCACTTCAAGAATCGGAGTTCGGGCCATGAAGCAGCCGGGATTTTGCGCGGTGAAGAAAACGAGAGCGGAACGCGAGTGGTCCGTCAGAAGGCCAGAGTTTCGCGGAGGTGGATGCCCGCCCCTTTGTGTGTGTGTGTGTCAGCACGCAAGCAATCAGGCAAGCAAGCAAGCAAGGAAGCAAGTAAAGTTAGTCAGTCAGTGGGCAAGTAAGTAAGGAAGAAAAAATGGTTTCCTGATTGCCAGCCGCAGAGAAAAGCCAAAACCAACATGGGGGCGGACATACATGTGGCCATCCAATGTACCAAGAGCAAACAAGCAAGGGGAGTGAGATTCAGGCAGAAACAACGCTCTATAACTTCGAGCATTGCACTTTGTCGACGAAGGCACCAACTGGACCGAAAATCACTCACGATCCCCGCCCCTAGGGGAGGGGGGATGTTGACCCTGGATATCTCCATTTGCAGCTCCAATCTCTTTGTGGGGTAGAAAATGTGAATTTCCCCCAGCCCCGTGAGGGCTGCTTGGACATTAAACCGCACTTTGAGTGACTTTCAGGTTCACTAAGTATGGGCCAGAGTCTGCGCGAAAGCGGAGATAGACTGACTTGTCGTCACACTCTGTCGGGGCCAGGTTTAAAGGCAGCATTGATCTCCCACGGGTTGGCAGCAGCTGCAAGCGGAAGGATGGATCCCGCCGAGGTGCCAACATGCTGCAGATGCCGCGCTACTCTTCCAAAGACAGCTTAGCCAAGCAGTTGCGCAAGGCACGGGGCCAAGTTGTGCATTTGGGTCTGTGTCAACATACGGGACCCCAGAAAATCATAGTTGTCCTTTTTGGTGTCCCTCTAAACCAACCTGCAAAAGGGTGCCCTCAAAAAACGCAAACCTAGCTGTGTGCGCAGACGTGAGGCATTGCTTTTTGGGCGTGTTGGTGATCTCCAAACTCTTTGCATCACGTCACCTGTCGGCAAGATCAACGTCCAAGCATCGTCGCCCCACACATCCAGTGTGGAATGTCGTTTGCGCATTCTGCAAAGGCAGCAGAGTTGCTTGAAGGGAGAGACTTTCGCACTCCTCATGGAGACAAACCCAGTGACTCGGGCGACGATGAGCCAGAAAAGGTTCACTAGTGAAATCCCGCTGACCTGATTTCCTCTAGGCCACCGAGCTCTGCGACGGCTTCCAGATCCTGTGAGTGGAGGCGATTTGTGCATAACGCGGCCGGGTGTTGCCAGGCCGTTGGTCCAGAGGTTTGCCTCAGGTGGCTCAGTGGCACCCATTTCGGTTTGAGCTTGTTTAGGTTCCCCAGTGAAAATGTGTCCTACGTGAAGGTTCGGCGCGTTCTCCTTGCGATTCCCCTTGTGGCTGTTCCCCTTAGGATTCCTTTTTAGGATTGATTCCCTTGAGGCTCCTTTTTTTTGCGTTTTTGGTGTGTTCCCCAAACAGCAAATGCATCCCCTGGTTTGGTGGGTTCTCTAGGTTGCTGTTTTGTGTTTGGTGTGTGTGTGTGTTCCCCGTCCAAGGTTCGCCAACTTAGGGTTCAGTTCGCCTCTGGGCAAAAGGTCGACCTTGGACCACGCTTCCCGTCTTTTGCCGGGCAGGGTTTGCAGCGAAGTGCCGGCGCAGCGCATGTCGCGGATTGGGACGTGTTTGGTGGCCATGCTTCTTGAGGCAGACAATCGCTTGAAAGGCTGACTCTTGGAGGTTAGTGGGGAAAGTAAGGGTTTTCCAAACAAGCCCAAGGTTAGCGACCCAACCCAACAGCCTGAAAGGCTTCTTCTTCTGTGTCTTAAACTGTGCCAGAGTGTCAGCTCACTCTTGAAATTTGATTGGCTGAGACCATGCCGCTTGCCCAGCACAGGCCGCTTTGAGCATGCTTTGGAACCTTGAACCTCGAGCAGTCTGTTGCAGATCCTACTGTTACACCTGTTGCGTGGATCTGCACATTGCAAGGGTTTGATCACCAGGACTCTCCTTGACATTTTTTTGGAGAAGGCCCAGGCTGTATTTGGAGCATTCCCAGTGACCAGAAAACAGATGCAGGTATGCTTGCAGATGTTGTTTGCGCCACAAGCTCACTTTCAACTTTTGGCACATTGCGGGAGGAAAAGGCTGAACTGAATTTTCATTTGCGCTCAGTCCGGCCATGGCCCGCCCAGCATCGACCTGTTAAGCGCCCCGTGCAGTGCCAGAAGGCGAACTATTTCAAGGCGCCGTCCGTTGCTTCCAGTGGTTGGAGTTTGAGGGAGAGCCCCCACCGGAGGCGAGGCGCCACTGTGGCCCGGTTTGAAGATACGAATAGACACATTGACATGCATTCATAGGATTACGGCTGCATTGAGATTAGGACACCCGCGCACATGCACACACATGCACACAAACATGTGTAGACTCATTGAAACTGCGTGCAAGATCCTTTGCAAGATCCACTTAGCCCGGAGTTGATGCCGTTTCATATGGCTCCAACCGCGAAATCGCGAGAGTGGTGCCCGCAAAAAGGGCCCTGGGGATCGGATAGCCCCAATCTACTTCCCGCCTTGATTTGAAGCCGGAAAAAGGGCCGGCCGCGGATTTGCACGGGATTGGAGTGCTGGCGGGTCGCAAAGGTCGGCTTCCCAACCAAGAGTGATTTGTGACTGAACCAGAGGGTTATTCATCCTGGGCTCCCATTACATGGGGAGTAGGGAGTGGTGGTTGTATTCGAGGAGGTGGAATGTGCTCGGTCGTGGGGCAATTGGCGGACAGCAAATGATTTGGCCACTGCTTGCTCGCAGTAAGGAGTCGGTTTCTCGCAAAACCACGGCACTTGTGCGTGAACAAGGCGAGCTTTGTTGTATTCGCAGGTGTGTGTGTGTGTACGAATCTGCCGTTCGGGAGGGGGGCTGAGCATTCCGTACGCAGGGGCCATGTAGCTTCATGCGGCTCGTTGGAATTGGAACTTCAAGTTGCAGATGGGTCCGTCAGCTCAACTTCTCATCAGCTCCACTTGTTATTTGCCGGCCCTGCGGTTTTGCGACTCAGCTCGACGCGCTGATCGTTTAAAGGGCCCCGCTGTCTCGTCCCAGCTTTCAGGCACCGGGGGGGGGGGGGGAGTTGAGGAGCTCACCGGTAGCCACACGACAGGACAAAGCAAGAAAACCATGGGTCTGTCTTTTTGAGTTGACCCTCAAAATGGTGGGGTGGTTCAGAAAAAAACGGATACCTGCAACAAAAAGACATCCATATCACTTCTTTGCAGCCTGGAAAGCAGCTTGATTGAACATCTTTCATAGGCCAACCCGCGGCGCCTAGGTGACATGGAAGCCGACCCAGGTTGAAATCGCTGTACATATCGCTGCATGCTATTGCAACAAGGGTTTTGATGAGACTGTTCTTGGCCGATTGTCATTTTATTTCGGCGCAGCTGAGCTCACCGTCATTTTCGATCATTGCTTGAAAGCAATGCTGATTTTGCGCCCCAGCCACTGGGGGAAGAGACAAAGCCAGAGAGAGAGAGAGAGAGAGAAGACAGAGAGACAGAGAGAGGAAAGACAGAGAGAGAGAGAGAGAGGAAAGACAGAGAGAGAGAGAGAGAAGACAGAGAGACAGAGAGAGAGACAGAGAGAGGGAGAGAGAGGAAAGACAGAGAGAGAGAGAGAGAGGAAAGACAGAGAGAGAGAGAGAGGAAAGACAGAGAGAGAGAGAGAGAGAGGAAAGACAGAGAGAGAGAGAGAGGGGAAAGACGGAGGGAGGGAGGGAGGGAGGGAGGGAGGGAGGGAGGGAGGGAGGGGGGGGGAGGGGGGGAGGGAGGGAGGGGGGGAACTTGTTTCGTGACCTCTCTCAATCTCTCTCAGCTGCCTTTGGCAGGAAACGGACAAGTACTTGATATTTCCAAGCCACAACCCAGTCATACACAGACACACACACACACCAGCGTTCTAGATATATTGGTTGCCCTTAATTTCGGCATATTTACCTTTTACTCTTTTAGGAGAATGTATGTTACCCTACAAATGTTGATTCAGAGCCTTTGGCAAATCAGCCTTGAATCATTGTGATGTGGAGTCTGGTGGCCACCAGCTTCAAGCAGTCAGTGCAGCCATGTGGGGCGTGCCCGAAGGCTCACCATGCCCCACCAGGGTACAACCAATCGGATCAAGCTGGCCTGCAAGCTGTTGAGTCATGGTCATGCATATTCTCTCTTGGTTTCAAGTCGGCTATTTGGAGAAATTGCCTTCCCCCACTGCTTGGCCTCAACCTGTTGCGCCAGGAAGGATGCTGTCCTCTGTTGTGCGCCGTTTGCCAGTACAGGCGCTCTTCGGGAGAGCCAGGCATTTGCACGTGAGTTTTCACAGGAAACCGTTGAACATGATTGGTGGACACAAATGATGCTTGTGGAAGACGGAGTTTGTCTTGGCCAGCTTGTGTGATGCCCGGGAACCCCCTTTAAAGTGACAAAATAGTGATGAGCATCAACCAGTTTGGCTTGGTGTTGCAGAAAGGGTTATTTTCCGCAACTTGACATGCATCCCATGCAAAAGATGTCCCCCATGACGGTTCATACCGAGCTAAAAAGGGTGCTCGACTAGTATGCGGAAAGATCATTCATGGCGGCCCCTTGCATCTTCTGAAGCTGGGCTTCATGTGGGACGTGCAATGGCAGCATGAAGAAATGCCAATGTATGCTAATACCACACCATACCTTCCGGGGGTCCAAAAATTTAGGCGTTGGCCAAAAAACACGCTTTTTGCCTTTGGTGTGAAAAAAATGCTTTTAGGGCGAAAAAAAGCAGGCGGTCATATTTGTTTGCGCCGCGGTCGGGAATGTTCTCCTGTTGGTGGGGAATTTTCGCCTGTTGGTCGGGAATTTTCGCCTGTAGATTCGGGGAGATTGCGCTTAACACCCAAATTGAGCAAAAAAGGCCGTAGGCAAAACGATTGCCTCAAAAAGCAATTCGTAGCGAAAAGGCGGAAATTTTGGGCATGCAGGAAGATCCAGGTATATTATGTTGTATATGTGCGTATTGGCGCGCAACAGCTCGTGCGGTCTTTGCAACTTGTGCGTTGCCGTTCGTCACGGAAGTCCCTCGCAACGATATAGTCCTTTAATCTCCGTTTTACTAGATCTCTTTCACTGGGTTCAGTTTTGTTCTGCTCATATACCGGTGCAGTTCATGTCTCCAAAAGGACACCTGTATTCGCTGTATTGACGCAGCTTGTGCTGTGCTGCAGCCTGGCTCAAGGAAGCTGCCTTCGATTTCTCACGGCTTGCTGTTTTGCCACATCCCCAATTGCAGCCAGCATGAAGGATGGTCCATACAGCGCGCCAGAATTCCTTTTACCGGGTGTTGTGGAGCCATCCTGCGCAGATTTTTCCTTGGCGATTCCCGTTGAGTCGCCAGAGCAGAGGCCCCCCTAGTTTGAGGCAATCCCTCATGATCCATATGAACTTCCAAAGCACTGCATCCTCGAAGTAGCACGTGGGCCTTGTAGAGAGTGACATCTTGCGTGACAGGCATGACGAGTACACGGCCAACAGTATACTTACCGATAGAAAGGTACGTAATTTGTTGTGACTGCTTGTATTTTAAGCTCTGCACTTGCCCTAAATTTGCTACTGGCCCACTGTAGGCACAGGCCAATGGCCATCGCAAGGGAGCAGGAAATCGTGGACCAGTGGATAAATAAGATGTTTGAGTGTTTGTTGTCATTGTCATACACTGGAGGGCAACCTGCCAGAACTCCAGCCAGCTTGCAGATTTCCGTGCCCGGCCTTGGCGACTGGCCACCTACGTACCCACAGAAACCCTGCCCTTTCTAGTGGTTTTAAAAACCTCTCCTCTGGGTTTGTAAGATGAGTAAAGGGAACTGAATTAAATCGACCTCGCGTCAGCCCATGGCTGCGGCATGCTGCCGCCCCGCCCACCGCGCCCGGCTGGGCCGGCCGGCCCGGCGCGCTCAGCCTCAGTGTCCTCTCTTCGGCGCGAGGGCGGCGAGCGCAAAGCAGGCCGTGATTCCAGTTCCGCGGTTCCGAGAGGCCATAGATGGGTATTGTTACTTGTTGCTTTTGCTTGGCAGATATCACGATAGGTAGCAAGGCTAGACTGAAATACCTGGACCAACCAAGGGCACTTTTTTTGCGACTCTCTGCAAAAATCCGTGCATTTCCTTCAAATCCATACATTTGAGCAAAAACTGTACTTTTCTTGTAGGCTCAACATAAGACACACGAGCATTTTGGTACCTTTTTTCTACAAGAATCTCACTTTCAGCTCCGGCCATGGCACTGGAGATTGTCATGCTCATACCATTTGAAGGTGTGCAATTCACCAAGGACAAAAGGTGCCCATTTCCTCAAGAAAATGTTCCGCTGATTTCCGTGCATTTTCCGCAGATTTCCGTACTTGTCCCGCCGATTTCCGTGCATTTCCCGCCGATTTCCGTGCATTTGCGGTTTCTGCATGTTGGCTGAGAAAACTGCAAACTCGCAAAAGCGGCAAGGAAGCTGTCACACATTGCCCCACAGCAATTGGAGACGAAAGACCTGAAACGGAATTAAGTATGACGGGCCGTGTAAATTGCAAACTGTGCTCATGTGCATCCAAGTGCACCACAAACGCTCACAGCCTGCTAAAAGTGATGTCCGTCAAATTTCCTCAAAAGTGTACATTGACACTTTTTTTCTGCATGTACGGACATTTCAGTACTTTTGGAGGGTTCAGGTATCGGCCACACCCCCTTCGACTTTCCCCTGGTCCGCCCTCTGCCCACCCCCCCCCCCCTGCGCGCCTGCCAATTTTTCGCTCGCTTCGTCGTCAGTGCCCCACTTTACATGGTCAACAAGTACTTCCCTTTTTCGCGGAACGGAAATTGCCTGTTGAGCTCCTGAATGGTATTCGATGCATGCCCCTTCCTCTTTTTGTTGGAGGAGACATCAGGCAAAGCCACTTTACGACACACTTGGGGGGCCACTTTACAGCATCCTACCGAAACTGAAGGGAACCAACTTCGGAAGTGATCATTCATGGGCATGTTGAAGGGTGCCCCGGGTCAGTGGGGAATATTTGGGACGGATTCTTAGGCTTTGCCAGAACGTGTTTGCAAGTTGCTCGGATGTTCCTTATTTGAACGTTTCTTGCCTAAAAAAATATCTCGTGGAGATGGTCGCAGGTTTGACTGCCAGCTTGCTTGCACTCCCATCACCCTGACCGTGTGTGCTTTTCTAGCTGTGCCTCCAAAGAAATTCTACTACTTTCCAGAGTCTCTACTGTTGACCCCGGATCAAGAAGAAACCTGTGCTATTAAAGTGCTGCCCCCCTCACAAACGGCCACACCCCCCCCCCCCCCCCTCGCCCTGGCCCCAAAGCGCCAACTGCGCCAACCACCGCGCAGGCGGAGCCAAGGCCCGCGCCTCCTCCCGCCCGGTGCGCAAGCCGTCGGTGCCACCCATCGCGCCGAGTGCGCCGAGTACGGCGAGCGTGCCGGGCGCGCCGAGTGCGCCGAGCACGCCGAGTGCGCCAGCAAGTCCGGCAGGATGGGGTGTCGGTTTCTTCCAAACACCGAGTGCCCTATCTTCCTTTTTTTGAAGGCGCCATTTCTTTCAGTGGCCGGTTTTTTGTTGTTGTTGTTACTTTTGTTGTCTGCAAATGACTTTGCATTTCAGAGAGCTTTCTTAGCAAAGGGCTTTCAGTGGGGCTACTCGAAGACATCCCCGGCGTCATTTCCGGAGGACGGTCTCGAGGGACGCCCCTTCCAGCGCCGCTGCCCCCGTCCCCCAGCGCAGTCGCTGCGCGAGAGATCGCACACCTGCGGGAGGAGAACCGGGCGCTGAGACAATTGGTGGAGTGCCCGGGCCATTGGTTGGATCAGCCTTTGGTGGTTTGGAGTTTTCCCTCAAGAGAACCAAACCACTCTTCAGCACACCAAACCTCTGATCCAAAATCACCAAGCCTCTGGTCTTGAGGGCAAATGGACTTGAAGTTTCCAGCACCAGGCGTCCAAAGCCACCAACTCAGGTTTGCCGTGTATCCAATTTGCGCCTAGGGCTGAGCCATCCCCCTGGGCCGCAGCGCTGCTGGAGGAGCTGCCCCAGGAGATCTCCTTGGGGCTGGCCCGTGGTTGACTCACGGTTTTGGGCGGTTGGAAGGGAAACTAGACATCCATTTTGGAGGTTTACCCTCAAAACATGCCAATGAGGATGGACAAAATCCGCAAAGGCACCAGTCGGGATGGATGAAGCCAGATTTCAATACCTGGTACCCATCGAACATGCGCAGGTTTTGTCCATCCACAGAAGGATATGTGGGTGTGTCTTTCAATTGGGCAACTCCAAAAAATGGCTTTCCATTTCGTCCCCCCCCCAAACAAAGCATCCCACAATGGCCACAATGGGTACCCTGTCAAAACAAGGGGGCGGTCAGAATCAGAATGATTGGTTTTCCTTTTGGCTTCCCTTGAAACCAAAGGTTGCCCACCCCAAAGCCGCTAAAGCCCATCCCAAGGAGAGCTGGTCAGTCCTGCGGGTGCAGGCGCTGCAGCGAGAGCTGGGCTTTGCCCTGCAGCGCAGAAGCCGTTTAGCCCCACAGCCGGAACGTTGGGGGCAAGTTTTTTTTTTGGTGCGGGGGGCAGTGATTGGGGGAGGGTTTTGGGGGAGTGTGTGTTAGTTTTTGTGTTTTTGTTTGTTTTTTTGGGGGGAGGGGTTGAGGGCAAGGGGAAGGGAATTGCTGATCCGTTCAATCTTATGCTTAGGGAAAGGGTTCCTAAAAGCATACATCATACATCCAAGACCGCCTGCTTTACACGAAATTCTCTAAATCAGCTGGCAAGGTAATTGTTCAACTGGCCCCTGATAAATGCCTCTTTTTCCGGGTTGCTCTTCCTTCATTTCCTGCTTCAACCACCAGATAGTTAACATTGTTGCAGGGGATGTCGGGGTCTAAGTCTGGCCTACTTTTGAACATCAGCGGCCTGTTGTTAGTCGTGGCTTTGAGATGCGCGTGGCTTTGCATGCGCAAAGGCTCCAAAGCATGTCAGATGTCAACGGCATAGCGTTTTTGTTGCCACAGCACATGAATTGATTCAACACATGTTCCGGCAGATGCCACAAACTTAAACGCTGGAGTTTCATTCCCTGCGCACCTGAAACATTGGTCCAAAGGCCGTGGGCGCACAGTAGAGAATTGCTGTCAAAAACCCTCGGTTTGGGCCACACTCCGTTTCAGAAGCTGGTCTCAGACGCTTCGATTCAAACACACTGTGGCACGCCCTTTGCATTCTGCATACGAAGCTGTTTCGCCCGGTCCGCTGAATCACACACTGCAACAGCCTCAACCCATGCTGTGCCGCCTGCTTGCCGAGGAGCACGCGGTCCGCGCGGGCCACGAGGGCCTGCAGCGCGCCGCGGGGCTTCGGGCGGTGTCGGCGGAGGCCCTGCAGCAGGCCATGGCCGACGGGGCGGCGGCCGCAGAGGCGGAGGCGGCGGCCGGGGCGGAGCGCGCCGAGCGCGCCGAGCGCGGCCGTGGAATGCAGGGAGGACAGGAAAGGGTGAATTCCTCACTCCCCGAGATTCTGGACTTCAAAGGTTTTGGAGAAGCCCGGGGAAGAAAGCAATACGGATTTTTTCGGCAGCCCTGCTGTGTCGCTCAGAAGAAAGGAGGTGTGCGGGCCCTTATTTGGTCAGATTTGTGGGACGATTTGTGTGTGTGTGTGTGCGCATGCTTGAACCCGTTGCCCCTGGTGCCTACAGTGTGCAAACTGCCGGACCAGGTTGGATCAACAACTCATCTTGTTGCGACCATGATCTTGGATGATGTAATCATATTGGCTTATATTGGCTTATGATCGGCTTATGCTTAGACTCGCTCACTCACGGTTTTCATGTGTTTGTTCCCATGCTGGGTTTTTCAAGCGTAGTTTGTTTGACTCTTGCACGTGTGATTTAGCAACTGCCATGCTACCCCAAGCGAATGTATGTCGACCCCTAGCTGGCAACCTTTTGATGATCAGATAATTGATCAAAAGGTTCCCTGCAGCACAAGTTCTTCCAAAGGGGCCCTCTTCTGGGTCAATCCTAAACTGAGTGAGTCTTTTGTTGAGGTCCGCTTTGGGTTGATTGAAAAGGGAAACCACAGGAAAACCAAGTCCAATCAACCGCTTGATGGCGCCAAAGAGTCTCACAAGACCAAAGCTTCCCCATTCCGCTTCTTCTTTTGGTTTCCCTTTTAAACCAGCTTCGAAAAGGTACCCATGCTTGATAGCCCCAAAAAGAAGCGCATGTTTAGCCGTCAAGTTTATCCTCAAAACAACACTTGGGCGTCCCTTTTCTCAAGGTGAAGCCCCCTTTGCTTGAATTTATGTCGATTTTCAAGGGAAGCCAAGAGGAAACCGAGCCATTTCGGGGTTCCGTTTCTCTTCTTGAGTTCTGGACTTTAGCTTATTGCGACGACCATTTTAGTAGGGATTTAAAAGTTTAGATTTAGACAAACCCAGATCCACATTTGGAGAGGAGCTCGCAGCCAGTCCCGTGGCCGCAGCCCCTCGGGCGCCGGCGCCGGCGCGGCGCCCAGCCAAGGCCCGCGCCGGGCCTTTGGGACGGAGGAGGCGCACGACTTGCGGCGCCCGCTCGTCGGCGGGGGCGGGGACCGCGTTGGTTGCCCAGAGGCAACTGGGATCTCCTCCAAAACAATGTCAGATTAGAATACGAAGCAGAATCAGATGGTTTTTTGTGTACCCCAGTGGGAGCGAGCACGGAGGATACATCCATCTTTTTTTGTAGGTCACAAGAGAGCTCCATTTCGCCTGCCCCAAATCAGTGAGCTCGTTTCTTCGTTGTTCCGAATTGTCCATAGCACTGGGGGGTGGTGGGGGGGGATCCCCGCTGTCGATACGGACCGAAGCCAGAAGCCATCAATGTTGACCAGAACTGGCCGAAAAAGACCCTTATGCTTGTGCCTGTGTGACAGCACCAACGCTGGACTTCCCCAGTTGAAACGATCGCCACTGTCGGAGGTGCTGGCCCTGGAGCAGCGCATCTTTGAGACCGTGGAGGTGTTGGCAGAGGCCCAGCCGCCAGGATGAAAGATCCGAGTCTCGCAAGGTTTGTTGAGCGTTCGGACTTTGGAAGGCCGGGCAGGCAAAAAACCAGAGGCTTTCCTCCCCCTCCCGTTTGGGGCAATCCACAGCTGCTGGGTTGAAGTCTGCCTTGGTAGTGAAACAAATGGACAACTGGACTTGCAATTTCCCAGAGCGTTGAACAAAAACAGAACAGAAACAAACAAGAAATGCTGGGAAATGGAGCTGCGTGATACAGTGATACAGAGTGCATTTCTTGGGGATTTGCTTGCTAAGATTGCCTTTTTGATCGGGGCCTCTAAGGGAGATGTGGGAAACTTTGAACCTTGCGACGGGGTGCTGGGTCCCGCCGGGCTGGGGGGAATGCCATCATTCTTAGCTCCCAGGTGATTTACCTTTCTTGGGCAACCAAAGGTGCGCCCGCGTGCACTATACAACTGTGCGCCATGCTATGATCGGAAACTATGTGAGTGTTAACACCAGGGTTCACCACTGCCCTATGCTGTTGGGGTGGTTTCACGATTGGGGAACATGTGTTGTCCTCCAACGCGGGGTCCTCTTTTCATTGGCACCTCTCCATGGCCTGCGGACGTTCCGCTGTGCCACCAATTGCATGCGGGAGCAAGTCAAACTTTCTGCGGGGCATAGGTGTTGGTCTGACCTTCGCCGTCCTTTTGAGAACCACTTGGGCCTAAAGCTTCGGCTTTTTGCTCAGGAAGACTTGGCCCGGTGCTCAGCAGGGAGTGAGGGAATGACCCTTATCAACAATGTTTTGAGGTTTCCTTTAAGGGAATCCCCAGGTTCATGTCCACATTCCCGACTGAGCACCAGCAAGAAGAGCAGCCCAGTGGCCCAGGCAGCCCTTGGCCTCCCGCCTGCAGCGCCTCGCCGACGTGTTGCTACGCCACGCCAAGGACCTCGGGGGGACTGGCGCTGCCGGCGGAAGCGGCCGGCGGCGGCTGTGGCGGCACCTGCCGCGATGCCGAACGGGGCGGAGACATTGCGGATGGTCCCCAAATCCATTTTGCAGCATCAAGAGACCCTGGAACCATGACTCCCCTTTGAATACCAACAAACAATGGTTTCCCACGGCTAACAAGTGGTGCAGAAGCGGCAAACATCAAGCTACCTGATGCGGTTTTCGGAAGGTTGGGCACAAGGGGGCTTCAGGTCGCAGCTTGGGACCTTGGCTGGTAGGTGTCGTCAGTTTCAGTGATTCTTTTGCAGTGTGCAGCGGAGGTATCTAGAATTTAGCTGTTGTGTCTTGGGAAGTCATTGGCAGTTGCCTTAGAAGTGCTGCCTGTCAGTGCTGCTGCGAAGTCGCGAAGTGTGTGCTTGTGTTTTCGTGAGCTGTCTCCGAAAAGGCCAATGGAAACGACAAAAGCAGCAACTCCGCCATCCAGTTCCGCCCGTGCGTGCGACTAGGAAACTGAAATGCGTGCGTATACCAAGAAAGGGCGGAACTGGATGGATTTCTGGATCAGCAAACCTTCTATTTGGCACCAATGAGGAAACCAGACCACCGCGGATAAGATTGGAGGTATGAGGGCACCTGACAGATGAGAAGAGCTTTATTTTAAGAACGATCAATGTTCCACGGGTTGCCGCCCGTCCCCCCCCCCCCCCCCGCTCCAAGGCAGCAACTGCCCCCTCCCGCGGCACGCGCAGCAAACGCGGCAGAGACGTTTGCGCCAGCTTCAGCGAGCGCGGCCTGGGCTGAACAATTGTTTTGGAATGTAAATCGCATCGCCGGGTGCTGTTTGAGGGAAATATGGGAAGCCATGTAAATCGACCACATTTTGTTTGATGGGCAGGTTGCATATTAAAGATAAAGCACGCCAAGGGTGGGGCACAAGGCAAGCCCTGCATGGAAACCCGCGTGAAATCCGCACCATCCTAAAGAGGAAATTATATGGGAGCAAGACTTGTGGGCTATCTATCTTTCGGACTGGTCAGCAGAAATGGCTAGGGGTAATGGAAACCTTCGGGCCTGGATCTTAGGCAGCCAGAAGGATTCCAATCAGGTCAAATGACCATATTCCAACAAATTTCTCATATGAAATAGGAGGATTGACCATGACATACCTTAAGCAGCTGGCTTCTGTCAATCGGACTGGAAGCTTTGCGCCCGAGAGGTGCCTTTGGCAGTGCCTCCTGCACTTCTCAGCGCCTTCCGCGACATCCTGGAGGCCATCAAGAGATCCAGAGACCTCCATGGCCAAAGGTAACCTCCGAAAGCAGACAAACAAAGCCACTGCTTGCTTGCCCAAAGCCAACCTTTTAATCTTTTGGTTTTCCAATTTTGGTTCGTGTTGGTCATGACCCCAAAAGGTGAACCTTTTGTTTCTGGGTCCTTTGGGCAACTGAGAGAGACCAGTTTTGGCAAGATCGCATAGTTCCAATGCCGTTTGAGGATTTCCGTGGGGGTCGCTAACTTCAGGCTAATCAAAAAGAGCAAAAGAGGGACAAAATGGCTATCGTCCCGCTCGATCAGGTAAGAGGTGGAAAGGGCACCAGCCCAAAAAGTCACCTTGTCTACGGCAGTCGGAGAGGAAGCTTGGTTCTCCAGTTCGTTGTGATTTGGTGTGGCATACGTCCGTGGAGTGAGGTGACCCGGGCTTCTCAAAGCCTTTTCCTGGAGGCCCTGAACTTCAATGTCCCATTTACCCGGTAGAACCTGAAACCCCCAAGCCGCCTCACAAGCCACCAATTGCAGGAATCTGAGTCAGCGCTTGGCTAAAAAATCCGCTTGGCCCTTGGCCCCTCAGACCCACGGAGACTGAGCGCAGGCCGCATCTGCGGAGCCTTCCTTGCAGATGGAGGCTGGGCAAGCGGTCACGGAGCTGCTGGAGCTAGTGGTAGCTTGGCTGGCCTTCGAGAAGGAATTGCAGGCCTTAAAGGGTCAATAAGTGATAGCCCCCTCCCCATACTCTTTCTTGAGGGTCCATGACGGGGTTGATCAAAGGTCCGTGATGCTGACCATTAGGGGAGGCACCAAAAAGGATTCGACTTTCCGTCACATGGGAAATGTTACCCATGGTCATTTTGGGACCCTAAACGGAATACTGGTCAACCCCCAGACGTCGGTCAGTTTGAGAACCTGCTTGGTCAGATGCTGAACGGTTGTTCAGCCTACCATTGTTCAAAGGAGCCTTGTTTGAAGCGGACTTGCAACAGTCTGACGTCGGCAAGGGTAAAGCATTTCAACTTCAAAGCAAAGAGCCACGATGGCCACTGCTGTTCACGCTGCTCACTGATGTGAGGGCGGAGTTCGTGTTGCTACAGGGTGGGGGAAACAGACTTCCCAGGTTTGCGAGACCACTCATTCAATCAGAACTAGATGCATGCGCATTGGTTCGGAGATTGGGCATGCCATCAGCCATTCAAACAAACATCTAAGACACCGGCTACAGGAATTTCTAGCGAAAACCTGTTGTTTGGGGTTGGTGTTCGGCAAATTTCCGGTTGAATTTCCCAGAAAATGCCAAGATGCTGCAACATTGGAGCTTTTGGCACCCAGGCTGAATGGTCTCAGCTGCTCTTGGAAGCCCAGGACCGAGGGCCTGCGAACCGCCACGCTCATCAGAACCTGTTTGGGATGTGTGTTTTTGGTATAGGTCACAAGCTTAAGGTCACAAGCTTATGTTGCATGATAGCTTCAGTGGGTGGTTGGGTGGGCTTCTTCTAAACGAAAGGAAGCTGTCCTCACAATGAAGTTGCCAACCACCCTGGTACCAAGTAGCAAGCTGTTGGACTGCAGCCGGGTTTTGCCCCTTGCACTTGCCTAAAGAGAAACATTGATTCTGCGCTGCCAGGCATCAAGACCCCCCTCCCCCCCGTCCCGCGCCAACGTCCAAGTTGTGAACCCCAATGCCCGTTGAAGTAGCACAGTTTGAGACTCGTTTTATTTATGGCGTGGTCACACGCTAGGAACTCCTGGCTGAGTCCTTGCTCGCCCAAGGCCTGAAGGGCCAAGAAAGAGCTAACAACGCCCATCAGCATCCACACATCCCATCCTACTATGTCTCCGGATTTGTGTGGCAAAGGCGCACAGATGTGATGGCTAGCCAAGAGCTGGTCATTTGGTAGGGACTTTGCCTGGTGGCTTTGGTCTCTCGTGCCAGGAGCAGTGAGGCAGCCGGCCATGTACATAGATCAGTGCCATTCGGCTGGACCTGGGTCAACGAAAAGCGCGGAACGGGAACTTTAAGTCGCGTTTTGTCGCGTGGGTGGGCTGATTTTTGGGAACCGTGGATGGAAAACTGAGGCCGACACTGCCAGGTGAAAATGTGACGCATCAAGCGAGACTTCTTGCCACGGCCATGATAGTCCTTGGGACTGGTCGCCTATTGGCTTTTCAAGTGCCTAACGGCCTAACTGTGACCGACAGAGATGTCATCGGGAGGAAATAATTCTGTGGAAGATCGTTGTGTGGGACGCTCAATGTCGCACAGCGTGGAAAGAATCTGAGGGATTAAAACTGCAAACTTAGGGACGCTATCTTGAGAGCGTTCATTTCCATGGGCTCATAAATCCCCAAGACAACACAGCCAAGGTTAAAGAAGCCGAAGCGGAAATGGTTTTGGATGGTGTTTGGCCAAATCCTTGTAACGCCCCCCCCTGTGTGTATGATGAACCTCCCCCCCCCCCGCCAAGACCTGCCAAAGACTTTCCGCGTCCGCCAGGCCATGGTGCGCCCTGCGGCGCGCTTCCACTGCCAGGCCTTGATCCGGATATTCGTTTTTGAAGCTTAAAGGAAAGCCACCCGAAAAGGGGGGGGCGCTTTTGCACATATCCATTGAGCCGTATCGGTTTATAGTAGTTTGACGGCGAGCGGTATACATTAATGGGAGTTGTGGTCATTGTGTCGGGCATTCATTCTCTTCCTGAGTTCCTGGACTGTATATTTTTGGGGAAGACGATTTGAGCAAATGAAGAATTGACTTCTTTGGAGCCATCCACGGAAGTTAGTTCATGTATGGGTGGTTGAACCTGCTTTTGGTTGCCCGCTCTCGTGGTTGCCTTCGGCCTGTGGGGCTGCGGAAGCGAAGGGAAGCAGACGTCCCAGCCCAAATTGGGCATCGCCGCCTTTCTGATTGACACGGCTTGGGTAATTACACTCCTTTACCAGGTTTGGATTGTGACTCCCTTGCGCCACTTGGATCGATTGGGCGTTGTGAGCTGCAGAAGCGATCCAGCTCGTACATGCTCAGAGCAATTTTCGATGTGTTCTCATTTAGCCAGTTCTTGTGGTTTTAGATGGTTTTAGGACGTGATAGGACGTGTTGGCATTAGCTAGGGGTGGACCAGAGTCACCTCCACCACCTTTGGGTTCTCACAAGCTCACGAGGAAGGTACCCTTTTTATGGCAGCTTCTCTTTTATGGCAGTTCCCCCTGAACTGCCAGGGGCCCCAACATTCTCCCAGGGAAACTCACCTAGATGAAGGCTACCCCAACCATCAACAGCCAGCTGCAGTCGCCTTTTGAATTCTGTACATGGTTCTGGGAAGACAGGTCTCCCAATAGCCCCCCCCCCCCCCTACGTTCCGAATTCCTAGCGGCCTCTGAGGCGACCATGCGGTGTCGGTCCGCCAGGTTCCCAAATCCTCCCGGGAAACTCACCCTGGGGCCCCCGACAAACCTCATTTGGAGTTCCGTTTGTTGTTTTCAACAATGATTTCCCCATACTCAACAGATCTCAACAGGCTTTCCTTGGGAGGAAGGAAGCCATGTTTGTGTCGCTTCGGTGAATTCGCATCTCCAGGTGCCTTGCGGGATCTTCACTGATGAGCTCCGGGTGCAGGCCATGAAGGAGGCCCAATTGCTTGGGGTGGGGGGGGTCCGTTCATACGCCCCAGATGAACAAGGAAAGCGAGAAAACCGCAGATTAGAGTCGTTGCAGCCATATTTACATGTTGTATAGATTGCCAGGACCAGGTGTCCCTGATTCATTTCAAATTCAAACACATACTAAAAATTGCATGTCGAATTTCAAATACCCTTGGCTTGGCAATTGGCTTGAGCAATGACATCAGAAAAGCCCCTTGCACAGACTTGAGTCTCTGGACCTGGTCCCCTAGGGAGCCACCTAGGGTGTTTTGGATTTTAGGAATGATCTGGTGATATCCCTTAAAGATGACCAGTTGGGTGGCTCTCGGGATTCCAACTCATTGTCTATGGAACCAGGTTGAGCGGGGCGAGGGATCGATCCGCCAGGATGCCTCTACAATCCGCAAGGCAGTGGTGCAGTCACAGGAGCTGCACAAGGCGAGAGGGGGTGAACTGGGAGGTGGGGTTGGGGGCGGGGCTAAGCAGGGTAAGTAGAGGTTGTCTCACTTGCGTGCCCGCACGTTACCAAGTCAAGTTGGCGCAAGCAGAATCGACACTCGTCTCAAGTTAAAGATGCCAAGAGTTCTTAACACAACAGACTTCACGGGGGCCGGAGGGGAGGGAGGGTGGGTAGGGGGCTTATTTGGGCTCCCTCCCCCTCCCCATCCCTCCCCCCCATCCCCACGAAGATTTGCTGATCGAGCCAAACCCAATCATTTGCCTCTTGCCAGGCTGGTGCTCTCCAAGACATCCACCAGTGCCTTGGATGTGTCCGGCTGGAGGTGCTAGGCTTTGGCTGCACGCTTGCAATGGTCCAGTGGCACGTTCAGATATGGCTGCTGGGTATGTTACCCCTTAAATGCAAGAGCATTCTCTTCTGTACCCTCAGAATCCATACCAACCTGGAAGTGCTCTTAGGATGGCAATGCGTTCAACGCCTCAAGTTATTCACCCCTGCCACTGACGCTTTAGCTGAATACTGATGCATCACGGCAATGAACGACCTCTCCCATGAAGGATTCTTGTCGGGGTTCCTTATTTCAGAGCGGTGCGTCCAGAACGGCAGTTGGATCGCCAACTGGCTCATGTCAAAAGGGATATCGCTTGGTGGGTATGTTGTTTATGCCAGCACTCAGGCCGCTGGGGGTATGTCTACTGCGAGAATTTCTCCAATTGTGACACCCCAAAGGTAGAAGCGCACCCCGCACCCCCACGTTTGAGGATGGTGCGCTGGATCCACACGAAGGAGGATCACGCACAGAAGATCATGACCACCACGGCGGGGTCGCCAGTTGCCATGGGTCAACCGCCTCACCTGATGGGCGGTGTTCAGCACTCCAAACGCTTAGCTGGAGAATTGCCGAAGTAGGCATGGAACGGGGTTTCCATCAAATTCAAGGGACTTGACTGCATGGTTGTAGGCAGCTGGGATAAATTGAGCATGCTTGGGCGTGCGCAAGAATGGCCATGCGACTCGGTGGCCATTCAGCCGGCCTGCCTCTCAAGGCTTTGGATATGTAGCAGAAAAAACAGATTTTTGAGGATGCACTTTTTTTTGTGCGGCTTTCAAAGGGAAACCAAAAGGATACCACCCATGTTTTTTGGGTCCCCTTGTTTTGACTCACGCCCCAACATGTGCTTAAACAATGTCGGGGAGCTTGCTTCGTTCAGGCGGGGGCGGGTTGAACTGGCCAAGCGTGTGGATATTTTATTGGAACCTGCGCGCAAGTGAGGATCCGGATTCCAGGATTTCCTTGCAGTTGGCCAACAGGGACTTCACAGCCTCAGGGGTCTCATCCTCACACAAGAACGATAGGAGGCTGAGTTGAGGATCTTTAGGATTAGTTGGGGGCACTCTTGGTTGGCTGAAGACCCCCAACAGCAGTTCAAAACCAGCACGGACAAGGTCATGCCTTAGGATGGCTCGGGCTTGAGAAGTTGGGAAAGGCAAGGGGCCAATGGCAACTGCTAGATGAGAGTTTACTCTATCAATTTGAGGGGTCTGCTTTTTGAGGGGGCCTTTTTTAAAGCTTGGTTTAAAGGGACGCCAAAAGGAAAATCATTTATGGGGTCTCCCTATTTCATCAAATACCCATGCCTCACTCATGGAAGCTTTTTTCGTTTCCCGGTTAGCCGTCAGCCAACTTGCCGGTCCAGGCCGACTACTTTTTGGCGCAGAAGGTCCGCCGATTTGTTCAGCACTCCCTTAGGCTATCATAGCTCCCAGAAGGCCTCCGTAGAACCAAGTCTTTTAAAGGCTGGCAGCGGCTGGCAGCTTCCATGTTAGCCTGGGGGAGGGCAGAGTGAAGCGACTGTAGCTATAAAAAGCTCGCCTAGTTCAGCTTGTCCATTTGCTCAAGAGTATGTTTCATTTTCTCCTATTGGTTTTTAAGGGAGTGTATCACTACTGCACATATTTGCTGATTGTTTCAAGGGGATGAAAAAGCAAATGGAAGTTGTGTCATTTGTTCACTTGACGGCCTCCTTGCATGGCTTGGAAGGCTGTCCATCGATCCTGTTGGCTGCTTAGCTCACTAAAGAAAGGTCAACCTCGATATTTTTCTTCTGGGCAATCTTGAAGCATATCATTTTTGTTTGGGTCCCACCCAAAGCTTGTCAACCTCAATGCCGATTTTGGGCCAGGGTCACGGCAAGGGTCCAATTCTTCCCGTCATTTTTGTTTTGACACACCAGACATCACCCCTTTCTTCAGTTGCGCACTCTTGGTTTTTTGAAAAGAGTCTATCACTCGACATAGTTATTTGTTTTTTTGCCAAGGCATGGTCCATGTACCTTGATTGCTATTGGGTTGGATCTTTAGACTGGGAAGTCAAGTCGGTTTTCCGGATCAAACCCACAAAAAGTCAAACTCATTTTTTGCAGAGGGGTTGTTACAGGAACCAAGATTAATTGGAGGGACTCGCTGGATGCAATTGGCCAGGTGAAGAAGGCCGACCTGGCGGAGGATGAGTATCTCAAGCGGTTGGCCCTCCACCACGACGTCATGGCGGGGAGAAGAACAGGTCACTTTTGGGACGAATATGATCATAGTGTGGATGGACGAAATCCGTTCGCACCACTTTCAAACCATGGGAACCATTGCAACTGTTGGTATTTGCTGCAAGGGACTCATCATTCCAGGGTTTCTTAGCTGGTGCAGGAGGTTGGCCATCCACAATAGGCTTATTTGCAAGCTACGTGTATTTTGCCATGGTCATATTTCGAGATCTGCATCCATTCTAAAAAATGGGCTGGTGGCTACCAGAACACATGGGAGAAGAGCGGTAAGTTCTCGTAAAGCGACGGCTGGGAGCTGAGGTAGGAATCTATTATCTTTTTCATATGTTACCTTTCTTATTAACCTTTTATTATAGTTCCTGTCTTTTTACTTTAGTTACATTCTCTTTTTTCATCTTTTAAAACCCCAAATGATACAGGAATGAATAGATACGAAAGGAAGGGTTGACTGGAGTTACAGGGCATACTACTTCCAAATTGCGTCATGAGGCTTCACATGCGTGTTGGCCCGCGGTGGTTGCCCACTTGGGGTGTTTTTACTGAAAGCTGAACAGGAACAGGCTTAGCCCCCACCTTGCTTCAGAGGCATTTTGCATCAGCATGTGCTGTGGCCAAGGGGCAGTTTGCTTCCTCAGCGGCTCCCTTTCCGCCCTTTACATGTTTCCCTTTACATTCAACCAGCAAGTGCCCAACAGTATAGGCAGGTACCAAACTTTGGCAGGTGGCCGCCATGAAGGCCAAGCAATCCTCGGAGCTGGGGCCGGTGGACACCCTGGACAAGGCCATCGAGGCTGAGCCGACGGCCGACGGCCGAGGGCTTCGGCGCTCGCCCGAAAAGCATGGCCGGAGCGGTGAATTGCGTTGGAGTCAGAAGTTGTGAAGTTATGTCTCACTTCCACCGTTCCTGGACTTTATATTTGAAGACCATTTTAGTGGCAAACAAAAGTTTGGACTGTTTCTGGCCCATGCACTCAGGAAGTGAGTTCATATTTTGTCCTTGGGCGCGCGCCATGGAAGAGAACACGACCGGCTTATTGGCAAGAGTGGTGCAAGTTTCATACATAGTTGGGCTTCCGGCCGTCAACCCGCAGAGAAACATGAAAGTTGTCCTTGGCAATTGATATCCGGCGTTGTCATATCTGTAGCATCGATTATGGGCAGGCTTCAAAAACTCTTAGACCCATGCCAGTTATTCATGCATGGGAAGCCGCACTTGAGTTGACGCATGTCTATGGAACCCCTTTGGTTGATAAGTGAATATTGCATGATATTGCTTGGACTGAGACTCCGTGGTTGGGATTTCTGCTGCGAGGGTGGCCCCTAATTGGGCCACCCACTAAAAAACATCGGCCAAATGCAGAGTAGCTCAGAAAACAGAGTGCCTACCCTTCGAAAGGAACAAGTCCACACCCGGTTTTGTCAGCATCCTCACTCAGGGGCGGAGCCTAAACGGGATGTAACATAAGGGGTTCCAGCTTGCACAACCCATATGTTGGAACCCACCTAGGGTCACCCACTTAACCTTTGACACGGCAGACATCCCTGCTTGGATCGGGTATGCCAAAATAGGATACTGACAACACTACCCTCAACAAACACAATGCCTCATATTCATTCGATGGTTTTCAATGCTGATGGGACTCAGGGCAAGTCAGGGCCGGAGGCCTGCTCATGGTTTCCTGCTTGCCTGAGCTATGGTTGATATCCCCGCGGCTCATTCTCATACACAGCTAGGTCTCATGTTGCTGTTAGTGGCACTTATATAGGTCATCGCAGGGTACTAGAAACAAGACAGATAGACTCAAACTAGCATTGTCAAGCACGATGTGTGCTGTCGCCAAGTGCAGTTGGACGCGCGCGCTAGAGAAGCAGGCCCTGGCGCCCATCTACAAGTGAGGCAAGACAAGTTTCAAGCCAAAAACCATGTTGAGCAGTGTTATTTTCGCCTTGGTCCCAGTTGGGGACCGAAACCGCACCAGAATGCACCAGATCTGAACTGTCAAAAAGCTGCGTCAGAAGTGGGGGGAGGTGGAGGTGCGGGAGCGAGGTCTTGCCAGGCCATGGTTTACATGGCTGGGGGGCTTCTCAAAAAGCAAAAAACTGTTAAGGTTGGCGAAATGGGTGTGCCTTTTTTTCGTGGTTTTAAAGGGGAGCCACAGGGGAATCCACCATATTGGGGGTCCCTTAAAGAGACGCACCCAGATAGGAAACAGAATCGGCGTTTGATTTGTACCCGAGAGTTGGGTCGAGTCGAGAGAGGAATGGGACAGCGTTGGCTTGTCCTCGCGTCCTCTCCGCCGTCCAGATTGTGTTCGCTCCGCCCGCTTGGCCCCAGCTACGGGCGCGGTGTTGTGGGGGCGATTTTCTGGGTGGCAAGTGGAGAAGCAAAGCCCCTGCAACAGTTCACCCAAGTTGCTTAGACAGGGAAGGTGGTGCCAGCTTGCTTCACCAGGACAGATGCTGAGCCTCATGAGTAGAAGGTGGCTTGAACTAAGACACGCTGAGCAAATTTGGGAGATTTGCGGTGCCAAGTGCCCAGAAGCACCCATGGCTTCGTGGGAGGCGCTTGTACGTTGACCGTTTGGATTCAGCGCAAGGTGCCAGGGCACGTTTTGGAGATGCTGAGGCTCATGCCAAATTCAGGCCACAGACGTTTGGGGTATTGATATGGGGACGAAGTTAAATTGGGGCCCTTTGGTGGACGTCATTTGGGGGATCCATGGCCAATCAACTGGTTGCTCAAAACTTGAATGGCATGAGGATTCTTAGGGAGCCATGACCAGACCGCTGGCAGGCAAGGCAAGCGGACAGGCAGGCGTCGAGCGAGGGTCAAGATCATGAGGTCGAGGTTGAATTGCCGCGTATTTGCGGTGCATTGGCCGACTCCCTCAAAGAAGCGAAGGTGCAGTTTTTGTCGCTTGATGTGGGGGATTGACTGGGGCAGCAGCAGGAAGAAAGACACTGCAATGTTGGAAAGCGCTTGCGCCAGCATTCTAAGAGGCACCTTCCATGGTGTCGCGGCCAGGTGGAGGCTCATGTGATTGAAGTCCCCAGTGCTTTCCGTTTCTAAGTCAAGAGAGGCTGGGGAACCAACCATTGGATAGCATTTGCAAGAAGCGCATATTGGCCCACTCATGCTCGCGCGATGCCTGTTCTTGAGGGGGCTCTGTGTTGTGTGCAGGCCCTTCGTGTCGCACACATGGGCACAGCAGCCAGGCCTGGCAAGCGAGTTTGCGGGGTTGCAAGGGAAAACTGGAGGGAAACCGCCGGGCTCGGATCCCCAGCTCCCCCCCCGATTGAAGCCTACGTTCAGATCAGCAAAGCCTCTGGGTGTGATGTCCTTGCTTGTTCATTCCTCGTCACGGTGTCCGCTAATGAGCTGCTGGCACATGAATCGGAGGTGTCTCCACTTTTGGGGGGGGGCCGTTCCAATTTGAGGGAATTCCTCAGGGCGCTCGTTCTCATTCGTTTGAGATTGACATTGATTGGGGCAGAAAGCCATGATGCCTCACCCAAGAAAGGCGACCGACCAGAGGCTTATGTGGCGGGGGCGGGAGTGAATGGCAACATAGGATCCGGGCAAGTCATAGCTACGAGTTGCAGTCTAGGTCAGTGAACTCTGTACCCAGACAGGCCTCAGGATTGATCAGTTCCCTTGGCTAAGGAGCGCAGCTAGAAATTGCAAAGCCGCCATTTTGTTGGGGAGGGGATTGGCAGGTTAATAGGTGAACCCAGCCCCTGCACGCTGTGCCCACCGGCATCGTTGGCTGCTGTTCACAGGCCGACGGGTTGAGGATATGCTGAGATAAGAAAGCCGGGCCCTGAGTCGTTTGATCAAGGTGATGCCTTGGACCGAATGCCAAAGTCATGTCGGGCATTCCGTGCTTGAAACATAATTGGCAAGTGGCAATGTAATTGCTGACAACTTGCTAAGAAAGTTGCGATACGTAATCGTGACGAATTGTGGTTTCAAGCTATTCCACAACCCCATTCCAATATTTTACCACAAGTTGTTGTCTTTAACCAGCGCCACCAAGCCAGTGCTTTCAAAATGGGGGAATACCCTTCAAATGGTTTCTCTTGGTGTCGCTTCGGACCAACCTCAGAAAGGGCTCCAAAAAGCACATGCCCATCTTTCAACGCCCAGGCGTCCACGCGCGCCTGCTGCGCGTTTTGGCCCAGCAGTCGGCTGCTCGCGCCGCGGAGCTCGCGGCGCAGTGCGTGGCCAACGCCGTGTGGGCCTTCGCCAAGATCTCGCGGCGAGACTCGGCGTCAACTTGCTGGTTCGATAGGCAGAGAATGAGTCGAGCAAAACCATCCCCTATGGTTTCCCTTAATGCGAATCCCTAGGTTCATGCACCCTGGGTCATTCCCTAATTGCCTGTCGCACAAGCAAGATTGGGGGAAGCCTCAGTGCGCGCAATTCTTGAGTGAAACTAACCAGGCAGATGGTCCAATTCTCTGGATCCGCTCCGGCTTCGGAGCTGCAATCCTCACCAAAGAGAAAACTGCAGGAACCACTGGCCTTTCAGCCTGGGTCAGGGCGCTTTGTGGTCCATGCTGTTTGGAAGGCTAGCTGGGGAAAGGGTAAGGGATGCCGTGCAGGTGATGTTTTCATGGTTGCCAAAGCTTGGGTACTAAAATGGTACGACACAATGGCTTTTCTTTTGACCCTACTTTTCCTGAAGCAAGCACCCTCAAAAGCACACACCCCCATGTTTTGGAGGATCAAAGTTCATGTCTTTAAACCCATGGATGCATGACAGCGCTCTTCAATGGGCTGCCTTAGGTTCGACCAAAGCTGGCAATAGCAAGAGTCAGTTAGAGGGGCGAAGCTGGCCACCCGCACGTCGTTTGTGTTTTGTTTCCCCCGCGTGCCTGATCTGGAAAAATGGATTGATGTTTCCTGGATATGCTGGACGTGCCGGGTGCATAAGAAACATGTGACGCTATGTCGCTGCTTTGGTTCTGCGGGTCTGTCATTCTGGGGGACCTGATCCAAGGAGGCGTCCCCACGCAGCTCTGGATTGCAGCCAGGGAGAGGACCCATGAGCAGAGCGCGCAAGGCTTGGTGGGGGGAAGGGTTTGTATGGCTTTAGGCATCCAGAAGAACCCACAGTAGCTGGAGCCTAGGGAGACAAGACAAGATACATGTGGCATTTGAAAGGGAAGCGACGTGCAGTGGTCAATTAGCCCAACTGGACGTGCGAGCATACACTTGGACAATATTCAACTATGAGCTAGGTCTCATGTTGACCCACATACATGGTGTTGCTTTGGCACTTGTTGACTGTTGTGTTGAATGCCAGCCTTCTATTTGGAGGTTGTTTTCCCCTTGCTACTTTGCAGGTAACAATGATCGAAATTGGAAGAGCTGAGGAGTGGCCCTACCTTTTCAGCCATGGCATTTGCGGACCCAAAGCTTCCCTGTCGCAGGCCTCTCCAACCTCGCCCGGCCTTGTGCTGCTGCCGCCTTCCGCGGCGCCCCGTTGCCTTCAGCGGCCGCGCGCGCCGCTTCACCGCTGGCCGGGGAGCCGGGGCCGCAGGGCGCGGCCAACAGGGCGCGGGCCTTCGCGACGTTGGCGCCAGCGGGGCGGAGGCTCTTCGAAGCTTTGGCAGCCGCAGCGAGGCCAGGTTCAAATGAACATTGGCAACATAGGGCACTTGGCGGTGCTGGCTTCAGGTGTGGAACCTCCCAAGTGCTCGGCGGCAATCCAAACTGACAGAATCAAAGAACTGTATGTATGCCCCCACTTTTCTCCAAACAAAAACCAAGCCAACCATTCGAATCACCTGATGACCCCGGCCCCACCCCACCTATGTTTGCCCCCTTGCACTTCCAGCTTCCAAACACATTTTCCAAGCTCCAAACCAACACCCCGTGCGTCTCACTTCCTGAGCTCTGCGCTTTCTACTTGTTGGGTTTGGATCATTTTAGTGGCAAATTAGAAGTTTGGGTATACTTTGTCTCGCGGCCATTATTCAGGATGTGAGGCCATGGTTGCTTTTTCTGCAGCTTCCGCACATGCGTCAAAACTCCAAACATCTCCAAACCATCGGACTCGCTTTTTTCTCCCCTCCACCATGCCTTGGTTGCTTTCACAAAGCCAGGCGCGGCACGGCGCAGCTCTCTGCCCAGAACCCCACCAACGCGGCCTGGGCCTTCTCCACCGCCGCCTGCGGCGCCTCGATCTTCGGCGTGCTGGGCGCGGAGGCCGCACCGCGGCTGGCGGAGCTTGCGGCGCGGGGCTCGGCCAACGTGGCGCGGAGCTTCGCAAACGGCCGGGGGCCCGGAGAAAACGTGCGTGCGTCCAAGAGGGTGTCCGAGCCATTTCTCGTTTTGGAACCTCCAAAAGTGGCGGAGACCACCAGTAAGTGACAGCCATTTCCGGGAAGGTTTCTCTTGTTCTTGGAAGGGTTCTGCGAATCTCCTTGGCTCTCTCGGATATATTGGAAAAATCTGCTGGGTTTGGACAATTTGGAACCCCTTGAAGAAATGGCTACAATGTGGGGTATTCCCATCCCTGGTCTCATGCTGATTGTAATAGGGCGTGTGGCTGAGAAATGAGCATGGCCATGTTTCCATGGACCAGCAAACGAGCTAAAGGAAGATAAGCAAACGAGCTAAAGGAAATAATTAGCCAGTTGGGAGGTGTCACATGGTGTGGTCCAAATGATTGAGCCTGAGATGAATATTTGTAGTTGTTTAACATTGTGGTTCGTTGAAAGCCCAATTTTGAACGCCAGAATTGGAGGATAAGAAGCAGGGGGACTTTTGAAATTGGCCGCAGGAAAATGGTTTAGTATCGGAACGAAGTTTTCCCGACAAGCTTGCAAGGGCATGGCAAAGCATTGGCAGAGATTCCGTAAAATGCTGCACGGGTACTAGCTTGCAGGTGTCACGTCAGGCTCGGGTGTCACGATAGTAGCAAGCACTAATCGTGGAACAAGCTGAATTGCAGGCATGCAGACTCTGATTCATCAACGGGGTCCCTCCATTTCCCTTCGTGAACTGCAACAGTGCCAATGTTGTTGGGTCCTATACTGCAACTTTTGAAGGGGAAATCCAATGACCCCTCACAACTGTCACAGGGAATGTCAATACAGCTCAGCTTGAACCTGTCCAGATGTCAGATTCGTTTTTCTTCCACTAAGAGCCTGAGACCTGCCACTCATACACGAATTATGTCACTGCATTGCTTCAGATTAGATGTGTATTCTTCCCTTATCGAAACAGTAAAATTGCAAACGCACGGCTTTTGCCGAATTGAACCACCAGCAAGCACCGTTGTTTGTTTGCTTGGTTGGTTGGTTGGCTTTGTTTCTTTGTTTCTTTGTTTTTTTGTCGGTTTGTTTGTTTGTTTGTTTGTTTGCTGAATGGTGCACTCAGGTTAACCTTTATAGTTTGTTGGTCCTTTGGGCGCACCTGTGCCCCAGGCAGCATCCAGCACCCGCCCCTCTTCCGCGCCACTGCTTTGGCCTCCATCCGCGGCGCTGCAAACCTTGCGCCGCAGAACGCGGCCAACGGGGCCCGAGGTTTCAGCACGGCGCTGCCTTGTGAAGCGCTCGAGGGCTTCTTCGGGGCGATGGAGGTTCCCATAGCTCCCTGGCAAAGAGTCTGCCTAGGGGTCGAGCTCTGAAAATGTGACCAACTCACCATGGCCATTTGCTTTAGGATCCCTTACTTTCGGTTTTTGAAGTACAGTAACATGTGCCTCAGTATCTGTTTAACTGGTTGCCTGCTTGGCGATCCTTCATTTCTCCTTTCAACCAGCAAGAAGTTGACTGTGCGTTGGAGGTTAAAGTTTGGCACTTGCTTGTGCAGTACATTGTGCATGTTGGACTGGACACTACTCGAAGTTCAGAAGCAGCTTCAACCCTGTACCCCCAAAAGGGGGGCGGAGGTACTGAAGCAGAGCCACACCTTTCTAGTAGATGGCCTTTGTCATTTTCTGATCATATTGAAACCTTCTCCGTGACCGTGCTCATGCTGGTTTGCAGTGCGTTGCCCTTGGGACAAGCTTTTTTCGGCTATTCATGTCAGGGATTCGACAGTGGCTCTCGCAAGTCTCTCGCACGTGGTTCGTCCGCCTGGCCAAAATCGGCGCATCCAAGGTGATGGCGATTTCCGAGCTTTCTCCTCAGGACCTGTCCAACAGAGTGCGGACGATGACCAACTCCATGCACCGCAGCACCGCAATCCTGGAGGTCACAGCACACGCAGCCCGTAGCAACTCGGCAGATGTGTGCGGTGAGGAGTGGCTACGTACGCCCACCTGGCTGATTCAGCCAGGTGTGGTTGAGAGAATGTGCGGCACTTGACACAGTCCAAAGGTTCTGGTCTGTGAGCCGTTTGCGACAAGTGCCAAGTTCTTGAAATCAAGGGGCCAGTGGCTGCATAAGGATGCCCTGGAAGCCGGTAAGGAGCATGTGTTTTGGGCACTGGCTTCATCAAGACCAGGCAGCATCCAGCAGCTTTCCCCACAAGATGTGGGCAACACCGCGCAGGCGTTTGGGAAGGTGTGGCTTGTCTGCACGCGGCTGGGGTGCGGAAGTTCAACGTGAGGCTGAGTCTAGATTTGTGTGCATCTGCGTGTTTGTTGTGGCTTTGAGAAAAAAACACATTTATGGCGCAGTTCCGCTCATCAAACGTTGGGGGATTTCGGAGGTCCGAGTGGTGCTGCCCCTCCCCCCGCAGTGTATGGAACCCCCGAGTCCTGCGAGACCCGATGGTTGGCAACCTGGCTGAGTGATACTGAGCCCTGGTGCATGTTGGCCCCGATGTTGTTCTGGTGGATTGGCGGGGAGTTCCCGCAGCAAGTGGAGGTGTGCCTCTAAAATTGGCCATTCCCATTGAATCAACTAATGATGGTTCATTGATCCTGGGCTCCTAGAAGCCAAAACACAGCATTGGACAGCCTGAGCGCGACAGCTCGCAGTGGCTCCTTCCGCTGATGTGTGGCTCAGTTCCGGCTCCGCAGGCAGCCCGCTTGCTTGCACCTCCCAGTTGTGTTTCACATGCTGGGATAGGTCGAGCCTGCGCCTTCTACTGAAAATTAATCACTTTCAGGTGGCTGAATCCCAGCCAGACTTCCAAGACGGGGCATCTCTATGCCCGAGAAAGGGAACCCAAAAGGCGATTTGCTAACCAAAGCGCTTGACTCCCCTTAGAAGGTCAGACCAACATGTACCGACTAAACAACACATCACAGTGACAACTAAATTACGAATGACGTACGACGTACAGGCTATGAATTCTCAGTGCAGGTGTGAGCCTTCTAAGCGCTCATGATTGACGTAATCTTCCCATTGCTTGCCCAACCAATTGCAGCGCAGAATCTGAGTCTGCCTTTTCCCGCCCACTACCCTCCCTCAACCTTCCCAGGTCGGGCCAACTCCCTGTAACATCTTAAGCTCATAGAATCAACCGCCCTTTAGTTGTGTTCCCTTAACTTAGGTGCCAGCTGTCCATTTGTTTCACCATGTTTCACCCAATCCGCAGACCTTCACAGAGGCTGCCTTTGGACCCGGCGCTCTTGGGCGCCACAGCCAGCTTCGCGCTGGCCGCGCCTCCGCCGCAGAACTCGGCCAACGTGGCGCGGGGCTTCGCCATGCTGCTGACCATGGGGCGGCCAGCCATGGAGAAAGCGGCCAGCGCGGCGATGCCGCAGGGGCCCCACATTGGGAGGGGGGGAAGGTGTTGCAGGGGGTCCGAGGTCCGGTTTTCTTGGCTTGCCCCTTCAACACAACACACTTTTGGGACGTGCTGCTTGAGGGGAGTGTCCGTTTTGTGGGATGTCATGCATTTCGAGGTTCACTCGGTATGACCGGAATCAAACCACGCCGATATGTTTGGTTGGGCAGAAGCTGAGGTTTTCAAATTGGAGAGATGGCACGGTGCCTGGATGCATGAAGCACAGACGGAATAAAGGTGGCATAAAAACCAAAAACCATACCATACGCAAAAGTTAGAGGTGGGTTTTGCTGGTGGTTTCCCGAACCAGGGAGTAAAGGGGTTCCAACTCAAAAAATCGGCAGCAGGCAGCGACTGCCATGTTTGATCATTGTTGCTTTGTCTCCAAACCCGGGGCTTACTTTGCATGCCGGCGAGTACGTGTGCTCCATCTGTTAGGCGTGCACTTGGAAGGAATGTTGCGAATGACTACGACGCTACGGTAATGTATGGTAATGTGGGGTCGCGACCGGATACGCACGTGACGAGCGCCGCTTCACCAGTCTTGCCATGCGTTGTACTTTTTGCCGCATCAAGCGGAAATCAAGTGCTATCGCAAGTCGAGTAGCTGGAGAAAGGTCCTGTCTCTACAGTTATTCTCTGTGTGTACCTTATCAATGTTGCGTCCCCTGTTCCATCCGCCCCGTTTGAACCAACTGGAAAGCACCGAGCAAAGAAACTGCGATGAACCCGGGCGGTCTCGGGTCGGCCTAATCTTTTTACCCATTCTGCCCGTGCTTTGTCATGTCTAATTTGCACGGGCGTCGAGCCAATTCAAATGCATTCAGCACATGCAAAATGTTTGGTCTGGGGCAGGGGCAGGCATATTGATCGTTTCATTTGGTGGTGCCAGCCGCTTTCAATCCTGTCAGGTCCCTATCGCTTTTGATGCAGGTTGCTGGCCATTTGTGTTGGACGGTGATAGTGTTGGGGTATTGATGTTCCTTTTGAGGGCGCTTGAGCTTTCACAAAATGGCCTGTGCCTTGCCTCACCCCTGAGTCAGGAGAGACAATTGGATGTCCCTCTCCCCCAAAAAAGCTTGCAGAAGACTAAGAGGCCCCGCTTAGGTTACAAGCAATTTGTTCTGCAAGGTGGGGGAGGGGGTAAAGCCTTTGGTTTGTCACCCCTCCTAAAAAATGGCCACCAGACCTCCCTTCTTCCTCCCCATTGAGCTGCGGCTTTTGTGTCCGAGGCAGTTGTCGGAATCCAACTCCCAGCACCTGGCGCACATGTTCTGGGCCTTCGCCAGTGTCGGGCTCATCCGCCGGCCGCCCTCAGAGGCGCGAGCCGGGCTACGCGAGCGAGCCGGGCAAACGATTGGGGGGGGGGGGCGGGGGGGAAGGGTAAGAGGAAGATCATGTACTTATTTGCCATATGACGGGTGTGTTGTCCCTAAAGCCAAACAACAAGGGATACCATCAGGAAAGGACACACCCATATTGTACGCAATCTTCCCAACACCAGGGGGGGTGGGGGGTGGCGGTGGTTTGGTATGGTGTTTGCGCTGAAAGCGCCTGGAAGGCAGTTGTTTGGTTGCTGTTTCGTTTCGCTTGTAATGCACTTGCACAGAGTTGGGTCGAGATCCACGCGTTTGAAGGTGTATGAATTGATGTTGCCTCAGGATTTGACACGCGGATGACAATGTGAAACTGATATTTCGTGCAAGGCAAGCCAGCAGAAACTATGACAATTTGGAAAGGTGTCTCTTCGCGCAGGCCGATGGCCATGCACAACACCCAACGGCACTAGCCAAGCCGCTCGCAGGAATTTGCCTTTCATACTGTGGCTTGAAACTGGCATAAGACATAGAATGATGGACTAACGTATGTACCACTCTTTCGCTGTGATCATAACTTAAGTCGGTTTCGAAACATCCCACACCCATGCAAATGATGTTTACTGGTTCCGTGTATTATTTGGTGTATATGAAGGCCTGGCGCTTGTGCTTCCCGGCTGCATTTGCATCAGAGACAGAGGCTGCCAGCCTCAAACTACCAGACCAGAGCCCTCCTGTGCCAGCATGATACACAAAAAGCCGGAAACATCCTGGCAATGTTGAACGCCTTTGCTAGCGTTTGTTAATTTACCTGAGCACACATATATTTACAATATCTTTAGTTGGTTTTGATTTGGGGCTTGGGGATGTGAGCCCCCTATCCAAACCACCAATAGTCTTTTTTGTGGTAAGTACATGTATGTTCAATTTCAAAGCTGGGGTGGATGGTCATGGTCATGACTAGTGGGCCGTTTGCGTTTTGCTCAAAGGAATGCGTACAATTGGCTTTATCACCGGCGCAAGTCATGTAACAACATGGTGATCCTTTGCCGTATCCACTTCTTGGGGTTTGCCTTGGATCTTTATGGGCCGGCCTACCGCCTACCCGTAGGCCATTTTAGAGAACAACAGATCGCCGAAAAGGGGCGCTCCTGGAGGAAACTCGAGGAAACGCCGCAAAAGTGCAGGACGTTTCTTATTCCCAGGGAAGCACGAAACATGGAGCCAAAAAAGCCGTTATACCTCGGCATTTTCTCCTTTGGGAGGGCACACTACGCACGAGTCAAGTTGGAACCTCATCATCTCCACAAACATTGGACCGGGGGGGCCTTTCCAACCCCAAACCTGTTTGTTCATTTTGGGGCCGAAAAAGGTTGGGTCAAACAAACAATGCCCCGTTGGGCTTGCCAATTTGGAGCTTTCCTTTTGGGAGGCCCCTGGCGAAGCCACGGCTGCGCGTGTGGCCGAGCTCAAGGCCCAGGAGTCGGCGAACGCGGCGCGGGCCTGCGCCAAGTGCGGCTCCGTGGGCGAGGCGTCGTTGAAGGCGCCCGCCGGCGCCAGCGCAGCCGAGGTGAGCGACCCCGCGCCGCGGCGGGACACAAAACCCCAGAAGGTCTCCTGCTTGCGTGCGCGGCCAACTTAGTAAGGTGGATAGGAACCTGGGCTATAACCTACTTGCACCCGGGCCAACTCACTCAGAAGTGGGTCATAACCTTGGTAACTAAACCCCTTTCTAACTTGGACGAACACCCAAGTGCAAAAGGATTTTACATTTTAGTGTACTGTAGACTAAATTTGAAACATCGGAGAATCTGGATTTTTGAGCACACCCCTGATGGCCAAGAAACAGGGGGCTGCAAGAGGCTGTGACCCAAGTCAACGACACCCAACCTCTTTTGAGCACCCTGATGTTTTTCCTAACTCACTCACTTCACAAAGAAGCGTTGCTTCTTTCTTTGCTTTTGTTGGTTTGCTTCAGGTTGGTCGCGTCTCAGGGCCGCCTTTTGTCGCAAAGCCCTGACCTGTTGGCTTACCGCTGTCTCCGTGGAGAGGCTCGCTTTGTTCTAGGCGTCGTTCTGAGCTGCTCACAGCCTGTTTATTGATATGGGGGTGTCCCTGGTCTTCACTTTTGGAGGGGAACAACCACAGTAGTAAGCAGGCGGTTGATTAATCCGGCATCAACATTGGTGCCAGGCCCTTGCCTGTTGAATCGGGTGACCTTTGGGTTGGACAGTTCCAGTCACCCAAGGCAATCTGGTTACATTTGTTAAACATGTTGAGTCAAGTGGCACGTGACCAAAGATTTGGCACCAACAGATTGGCTCAAAATCTAGTACATGTACTTTTCTAGGCCAGAGGGTTTTGAGGGTTTGAAGTTTGGCTTTTAACTTGACTTGACGCGAGGGGGCTTTGGGGCTTTGCCGACGTGTGATTCTAATGGCATGTCAGGGCGCACCTGCAGGACATTTTGGGCGCTAGTGTGTCTATCCCTCCTAAACCTACTCTCCCAACCCTGAACTTATCATAAACCGAGCCTAAACTTACCCTACACCCCCAGCCAAACCATCGCCAACTCAGCCTATCCAGCTAGCCAGCCCCTGCTGCTCCTCCAGTTTCCTCATGGAGTGGCTTGGGCCATTTCCCTGGCTTTCATGGTAGGTCTCACCTACCGGCCAGCGCCATATGAGGTGCCCCAGGATTCCGCGAACGTCGCGCGGGCGCTGTGCAAGCCGGCGCCCGTGGGCCTTCCGCTCTTGAGCTTCACGGCGGACTCCGCCTGGGGCAAGCTCCCGGAGCCCAACACGCAGGACCCGGCGCCTCGGGCTGAAGAGCCTGGGGACCGGTGGTTCCGGTTTTGGGGTCGGTTTGAAGGGAAATGGAAACACGAAACGCTCATTTTGGGTGGCCTCCTTTTCGGCTCGAAATGGACGTCAAACGAAAAACACTCAATGTGTTGGAATCCATGTTGCCGCGACTTTCCAGTAAACAGGCCTTCCGCGCACACGGCCTTTTCATGGAAGAGATGCTAGCAACGGCTCTGAGTGACCGTGCTTGTAAAATGCTCGCCCAGCTGGCACTTTCCCAAAGCGCCCGATCGAGGTTGCGCACTGCAGAAAAAGGTCTAAAGTCCTAGAATAAGGAAAAATGAACAAGGTCGTGCCGAGACCTCAAAAACACCGAATGTCATTGTTTCTTATAGTCGCAGTTTGTGATGCAAGTCCGCCACTGAATCACGAGCTCCCCGCTCTCAAGCCACTCCAAGGCAAAGGCACTCCAACCTCCGGACGCTTCAATAAATGTCCCACCCGAAAGTGCCACATGGGTCCGTGTCAAAGCACACTTGATTAAAAATGAATAAGTCGGCAAGGGTTTTCCTTTGCCATTCACAGCGCAATGGACATACATTGTTCTTGGTGTCTTGCAGAAAGAAAGACACTTTCCAAACCCACACTTGTGGAAATAGGCTGACGAGGCCGGCCTTTGATACTAAGGGACATCCCTTCAAGCTGATAACGTAGTCATGGGCGTGACCCGTATTGGCACGGTGGATGCCCTTGAATAATGCAAGTAAAACCAACTACCCTCAAGCGCAAGCTCCTTGTAAATTTGGGTAAATTGCAGGGTTCCCTTTTGGCCCTTGCAAAATGTTGGACATCCACTCCCCCAAACAGAATGACCCGCTCCATCATCGCAACCCACCCACCCCACCCCGCCCCGAGGCCAATGCCGCCCGGGCAGCCGCCAACCTGCTCCGGCGCCAGGGGCCTTTCGTGGCCTCCGCAGCCGCCTGCGCGGAGACCAGGCGCTGTAAGGGGGGGGGAGGGGGTGAGGGCTCCATGGCTTTGCCAACGTAAACCTTGGCGGTTCCCAGCCATCCGGTTCCTTACTGTAGTACAGTAGGTTTTCAGGTTTTAGTTGGTTTGGTGGTTGGGTTTCCATTTATCCACTACAGGTTCTAAAAGTTTAGCCCAGGTTTCCCTTTCAGGTGCAGCCACGAACCCTGGGGGTGCCGCTCAAATCAGCCCCAGCATGGTGTCATGTCCTTTGGTTTCCCTCCCTTTTGCCACTGCAAAAAGCGTTATGGAACCTCAAGAAGTGATGAAGGTCCCTCAATGGATAACCCTTCAATGCATGAACATTCTAATCTATGTGCAGCACATGGCCTCAAGCTGGAAAGCTGCCCTCAAGTGAGGTGTGGAGGGCAGTGGCATCCAGGCAGCCGAAACAATCAGCAGGGTCCGCCTGGGGCAGTTCTGCTGTGGGCGGTTTGCTCATGAGATCCGTCCCTAATCGGAGATCCAAGCATTGGCTTCCGAGGGTTGTCCTTTTAAACAACAACTTTGGACCCCTCAAATCAGCTGCTTCATTCCCGCGGGTGTTCCAGTGTCCCGTAGCCTATGGCCCATGTGCATTACAGACTGGGCATCCTAAAAGTGTTGATACATGGGCCTTAATTACTGGGTCATGTGTTTTACCCATCTCATGACCCAACATGTTTGTAATCTGATTCAGGCCCTTTGTATTGCACTTTGGTTCGAGGGGCCGAGCCAAAGCAATCGCCAGGCTCAGCCAGTTCGATGGCCCGGACTCTTCCAGCAGCGCTTGGTCCATGGCATCCCTGGAGCTTCTGCATGAGGCACCTTCCTTATTCGGGATCTCGTCTCACCTCCCAAGCTTCTTTTTGGTAGCCCTCCAAAAATTGGCTTTTCCTTTCCACCTTGTGGAAAGGGTAAGTTCACCTACTTCCTACTTCTGGGCCGGTTAGCTTCGAAGATAGTTAGTTTCTGAGAAGTCCGACAGTTGTTGGACTTGTTTTGTCGCCAATCCACTCAAGATGTGAGTTTCCCCAGTTGACAGCTTTGGGGCCTCTCTCTCTGGAGTTGTTCCGAGCAGGGATTCGGAGGTTGGCCGTTGGTGATGCCACCTGGTACGAGTCACTAACGGGCCAGAATGAGACGTATTGACTTGCTTCCGTGGACCCCTGGGCCCGTGGACCCATGAGCATTTTGTGACCCTTTAGCTGGTCTCCCAGCATTAAGCCATGCATAGAGTTTGGGGATTTCGCTGAGACATATAATAGCGAGCCCTGAAGAAGCGATGAAGCTTTGGCCGGGGTCCTGCAGAGACTGCAAGGTTCTCAATTCGCTCTCTTATGCACATGTATTTGCTGGGAGGGCTTATCTTAACGCTTCGGCGCTTGTGAGTTGACAACAGGCAGTGTGGCCACAAGTGCGGTCAACCGCGGGAAACTTTGCATTGCCTAGAGCAGTTTGGACATTTTGCCACACACCAACGCAGATTTGAAAAATCCAAAGCTCAGCGAGCTACAAGGGGTCCTGGGGACCGTTTGGCTCAGCAGTCCGGCCGTTGAGGCTTTGCGCCACGCAATCGGCGATGAGGCCGGCTACCAATGCAGTGTTGGCATGATAACACCCGTGCAACGGGAACACGCATTATGCATGTCAGCTATGGTAGGGTGGCTTGGATGTGCCCTAAAAGGTGTAGCTCCGACTCTTCATTGCATGCCCCTCCCAGAGCAGGCAGGCCCAAGACGCATGCAATGCGAGCATTTTTTTCTAGCAACGCTTCAGGTGCTTCGCAAGGTGTCGTCCTTGAGCCCGCAGCAGCCCCTTGGATGGTCATGGCGCTGGCACCCGCCGGGTTTTGGTAGGTGAATGGTGCAGTGAGAGCAGGCAGTCCGAGATTCATATATATTCAGATCCAGGAGCTTTTTTGTTTGCCATGCTTTGTTTTTTGCATACTGGTTTCAGAGCGACGACTTGTTGGGGTGCTGCTTGAGTTGTCCTGCTTTGCCAGCTTCAAACTGTACGATGAATAACTGACTGGTTTACTAGCAAATCAAACAAGGAATTCCTACATTGCATAACCGCCCCCCCACCCCTCCCCGCCGCCGCCGCTCGTTGATAAACCCGACAGCACGGGGCTGCAGCAAGGACACGGTCACCAGACTGTTGGAGCTTCATGCTTCAGGTCATTTGGCAGGTATGCCTACCAGGTGGTGTTCTGGGGATGGAATGTTGCACGGACGGGTGTGTTACCTTTTGAAACAATAGGCTGTGGCTCAAAAATATGGTACCCTCCCCCACAACGCCCAGTTTGTAGAAAAGACAAGGAGACCTCGGCTGCTCGGGTTGCCTTGACACCGCCTCGGCAGTCCGAGGCTGGGGTCATTGGCGGATTTGCGTCTTGGAGCTTGCCGGCGTCTGAGGGTGCGCAAAGTCTCTTGCTTCCAGATTAAATAACAAGGAACCCCAGAAAGCAATTATTAGTTTTTTGCGGATTCTCCCTTGTGTTGGGTTCCAAGTGAGATTTGCAGCAGTCACTCGCATGTTTTTGGTGGCATTTGGCCTCTGAGTTCTGGGGCCGCTGACCGAGTCGCCTTTCTTTTGGGGTGACGATGGTGACGTTAAAAACCTGGAAAATCCCTGGCCCAACGCTCTGTGCGCACATCCTTTGAGAGAATTGTGCCCCCCGTGCACAATCCCATGGTTGGGCGGGTGAATGAAACATCATTTATAATCAGGGGTCATGTTTTTTTTGTTAGAAGTGGTCTCCCTTGGGTGGCTCAGAACCCCTCAACATGGGGCCTCCTTTTGAGAACATCCCTCATCCCTCCTTAAAACGCTACCAAGGTCACGAATTGGGGTTCCTTGCCTTGTCAACTCTTTCCATTTCGACTGATTCAGAGCCGCCATGCATGCTTCGCGAGCCATGGCAAGGTCAGGCTTCCCACGTGGCCTGTGGTCTCTAGTTTGGCATTATCGGGTTGCATGCCGACGCTCTGCCCCCACCCCCTAAATGTATATTGACCTGTGGTGCGACAGGACTACACATTTTAGGGGTCAGGTGTTTTTGCGTCATTCCTGGCCCGCTTTCCCATTGGGAGCGCAACCCAGGATCTAAGACACCTTGGCTCCAGGAAATCCTCCAGAAACATCTAAATTGTTTTTGGGCGAGTGCTTGGAGCTATCTCTATGGAGATTCTTCCTGAGTTTCTTCGACTGACAGATCTGGAAACTCCGTGTCGCCCCAGGTCAAGAGGCAATTGAGGAGTGCCTCGAGGCACCAAATGGCGCGTCGGGGGTTGGACTAAGGCTTCCCGAACCACGGCAAAGATTTTTCATGTGTTCCAAAAAAAGCCGAAAGGGGCTGGGTAATTGATTCATCTTCTTCCAGGCCCAGAAGAATGTTTTGCACCCAGTTTGGTACCCACTTGCTTTGATGTTTGCGGGGCGGCCGGCGGCCTCTTGGATTTTGAAGTAGGGAAGGTACCGATGAATCTTGCCCGATGGGGGGCAGAAGCAGGGCAAGGGTGTTCTGGCTCCTAGGTTGAGGTGACCAGCAGCACAGCAGCAGTCGCAGAATCGTAAGGGGATAAGAGGAATTGGCTCCTGGGTGAGTATTGGCGAATGACAGGGAGCTCGCTAGGAAGTAAAGCTACCCTGCCCACCGCCTCTGAATTGTTTGAAACCATCTTGGATCAGAAGTGATCATCTTGATCACTCAGACACCCTGCAGGCGCAATTCCCCCTTGTGCAGTGGGTAAGGGAACGACCCAAACGTGGCTCGAGACACGCCCATCTTGACCACCCCCGAACCAGGCAGCGATCCTGTAATTGGTGCAGAACATGCCGCCCTGTGTTGGCCACTTCGACGACTACGCCCGGGTGGTGGAGGAGAGGCATGGGAACGTGGCCTTTTTGGGGTGGTTTTTTTATAGGGAACAAAGGACCCCCCCCGCATTGCATTATGGCTATACAAAGTTTGGTTTCCTTTGGGCCACCTTCTGTGCAGTGGCCTTGAAGTGACTGAGGCTAGCCCACTTGGCTTCCACAAAATGGTGATTTGATAGGGAGAGCGGCTTCTGATGCTGCCCACGGGTCATGTTTAGAAGAAGCAAATCGAAGGCAGTGGACATGCGGGTTGCTTCTCGGAGAAGCCAAGTTCATCCGAGTTCCCTTGGATGTATTTTGCGGTGTGTTTGGGGGCTTCGTGCGGCACATGTCTTTGTGTTAATCAGTGCTCCACTTAAAGCGCGACTCGGGGCCAGCTTTGGCCGCGCGGGGGGGGGGGGAAAAAATAGAAGAAGTAGGGGGCCTGGGGGGAAGTCTGTTGAGGGTTGCCTGTTCTGGTTTTTATGTTCATCTCAAATCTGTGTTCCCCCTTATTCGTTTTTAAAAGAGGGTTTTTAGGGAGCTTATTTATCGTTTTCGTTAAGGTAATCATTTTGGTAATTGTCCCCCTTGTTCATTGTTGGGCTGGGGGCAAACATTTTTTTCATTTGAAAGAGTTGACCCTTTTAGTAGTTATCAAGTTCTGGGGTGTTGCTGGGTCGTTTGTTTTCTTTGACGTTTATCTCTACAATTATTTATTTTCGCTCTACACTCTTGACAATATTTATATCTTTTTCCACTTTTTACATTTCCAAATTCATCAATTGTTTTATCATAAAGGCATCTGTTGCATTTGAAGAATTCACCATAGTCTTCTGTTGCTTTTTCTTCTGTCATTCCATAATTATTCATTATAGTTTGCTTCACAACCATTTCTTAATATATCTTAACAACTTCTTTTTATGTGATTTTTATGTGATTGTCTAGCTATGTTTTATAGGTTAAAAGTTCAGTATAATTATAACATATAAGATTTTACATGTTATTATTATATTATGATTATAATTTCAGTTCAGGATAATAATCTAATTGGTTTGTCTTACTTCTTTCATACATCATTTTAAAAATAATATTAACATCTCTCATTGGCTAGGGGGTTGCTGGTCGGCTGGTCTGGGTTTCAGGTTTAATTTAAATGTCTTAACCTTCTTGTTAGATTATAAAACAATGTTTAATCATATTATAAGATAATAATATTAATAAACAAAAGTTAATTTGACCCGTATTCAATCTCACCAGCGATACAACCACTATAACAACTCATACTATACTCACAAAAATAATGCTCGTATCCTTTTATTAATTGGTCTGTGTAAATTTCAATTAAATCGCTAAGAATATGTCTCAAATAATAATTGTTATTTCTATATGACCACCAACTGTTTAGGTTTGGAAAGCAAAATCCATTTTGTTTCCAATATTTTAATTCTTCAACTTTAAGACAATGTTTTAAAACTACACAAACTTCATATTCATTATTCTTACAGTATGATTTTAATGCTTGATAATACATTTTTCTATTTTTAAACCGTTCTTTAACTTCTTGTATATCAAATACTCTGTCAATGTTTTTTCTGTAATGTTTTAAACTAAAATGGTATCCTGTTAGTTGTGTAATATCATTATTTTGTATTTGTTGAATAATGTTTAACTGAAGCTCTGCTTTTTCTAGTCCTTCTTCAGGAATGTTTTTATCACTCATAAAATGCTCTTCTTCTTCTATCAAATACCGACAATCAAAACATGTTGGTTTAATACAACCACCTATAAGATTACAAACATCAACAGGTAAAATATTAGCTAGTGCCACGACAGACTTAAATTTTTTATTTTTACAAGGACATTTATCATAATTAAACAGTGTCATTTTTTTTCTTACTATATTATATCCATTTTTCTTTAAGTAGTTTGTATTTTATGTTAAGGGGTGGGGCTTTATATTGAAAAAATATTTTCTAACAATTTAATATAATGGCGAGATTAACAAAAGACCAAATAATCAGCAACATCTATTACGACTTAGACGAGGGTTTCGGAAGCACACAAGCGACACACAAGAAGGCAAAGGAAGAAGACCCAACAATAACATTAGACGATGTAAAGTCTTTCTTAAAGAAACAGCCAAATAAACAAATCAAAAATTATAGAGGAACTAATTCCTATACCGCTCCATTCGCACGATATGAATATCAAATAGACATAATGCATATGTCTCCTTTAGCAAAAGACAAGAACGTTCCACAGTATGCTTTAGTCGTGATTGACATCTTCAGTAAATTAGCAGATGTAATACCGATGGAGGAAAGAGACGGAGAGAACGTTTTGAAGGCGTTGAGAGCAAGCTTTAAAAAGATGGGTTATCCGATGTCCGTGTATTCTGATGACGACGGAGCGTTTGCAACTAAAAATCACGTTCAGGATTTCTTCAACAGTGAAGGAATAAACCACATCGTTACGAAGACCCACGCAAATGTGGCCGAGCGTTTTATTAGAACGATGAAAAACAAAATTCACGATAGAGTTAGGTTTAACAACATGAAATGGACCGACGCCCTAACGCCGGCATTGAAACAGTATAACAGCACATCTCACTCATCAACAAGGATGACACCGTCTGAAGCACACAAGGACGAGAATGAAATAAATGTAAAGGTCAATCTTAAACTACGAGAAAAAAACAAAAGAAAGTATCCCAGAATAGTGGAGAACGACAAGGTAAAAGTGTTTCAAAAGAAAAGGGGTAATTACACCGACAGAAAGGAGTATAACTCTAAATGGTCTAATAAAATATTCAATATCGATAAAATTGAATATGATATTATGGGTAATAAAACTTACAAAGTAGCAGAAATAAACAAACCGCTTTTGAGACACGAAATTTTGTTAGTTAATGATTAAACGTATTTCTTGGTGTCTTCTTTATACTTGACTTGATAGTAATCCAGACTTGATTGTTTAGGTTCTTTTATGATTTTTTCATTCAGTTTTTTAACATAAATGTTTCGTTTATTTTTGTATTCGCTACTGTCTCTATCTACTTCTTTTGCTTGATAATTGTTATTGTTATCATATGTAGGTTTAATATTCAAGCTCTTTAAGATTTTCAGTATGTTTTCATTTTGCTCCAACACTTTTTCTAATCTTGGAAACAACAACTCTAAACTACTGTCAATGTTCGCTAAATGTTCCTCCATATATACTAAATTATAAAACTAAACTTTTAAAACTAAATGTTGCAATTATGTTAAATCTACTCTTTAAATACTATTTTTTCATCATTTGTTTAACAGTTTCCTGAGTTTCCTTATCGCCACTATCGGATGGTGATGCTTGCCGACCCCATTTAAAAGTTATATTATGAACATCTGTTTCTAAATTGATACTGTCTTTGGTTTTATCGATATTTATTCGTTTATCGTTTTTACTTAGTTTGAAACTTGTCGGAATACACGAACATTTACAATTTCCTTTCTTTTGAATTTCTAATTCATTTTTCATTTCTAACATCTTTTTACACATTGGACAAGCAAACTCAATAACTGATGTTTCTTTAACAATTTCTTCTTTTTCTTCATCACTCGAAGAAACAACTGGCTCGGACTTATTCTTTTTCTTTCTTCCCATCTATATTAATATTTATATTTTTAATATATTGTATTCCTAACTTAATTAATTCTAATGAATAATAACAACATTTCTTAATTTTATTATCGGTTATTATTACTTGTTCTATATTTTCTACTTTATCTATTATATCAATATAATCCGAATAACTTCTATTCATATAAAATAATAAATATAAAATATTTTCTAAATAACTTTAATATTATTTTATTATGTCTGATGTTCCAATAATAAAACCAATAAATATAACTGATTACGATTTCAAACAATCTAAATATGAACATGTACCAAAACTACCTTTTCGCTCAATTGTTGTTGCTTCATCAACGGGTGGCAAAACAGTTTTAATTCAAAACCTTATCCTAAATGTTTATAGGGACTGCTTCGCCCGTATATTCATTTTTAGCCCGTCGGTTCATAATGACCCTACCTTCGTTGAAGTCAAGAAATATCAAAAAGATAATATGAAGGTTGATGACGAAAAAGAAAAGTTATATTATGACACCTACCAACCTGAAGAACTGGAAGAAATAATTAACACACAAAGAAAGATAATTCATTATATGAAAGAACAGAAGATGAAGAAACTACATTCAATTTTAATCATTGTTGATGATTTTGCAGACGACCCTAAATTTGTTAGATACAGCAAGTTATTACATGGACTGGCAACGAGAGGCAGACACGACGCCATTAGTTTTTGCTTAAGTGTTCAAAAATATCGTGTCCTTGCTCCAATCATTAGGTTGAATTCTAGTTCGTTGTATATCTTTAAGTTAAAGAATGTATCAGAGTTAATGTCATTCATTGAGGAAAACTCCGCCATTGTTGATAAAGAGCAACTGTTAAATATGTATCATAAAGCGGTAGATGATAAACCATACTCCTTCTTTTATGTTAATATGAATTCCAAAGATGTTAATAATATGTTTTATGTTAGATTTGAAAAAGCATTTAAAATAAAATAAAGATTGAAATATATTATGATATTTTATGATTTACCATTAGACATTAAAAACCTTGTATTATCTTATAATTTAGGTGATGTTAGATTATTAAAAATAAAAAATAATAATATTATTAAAAATTATATTAGTAAATTTAAACCAGTGTATAAGTCTTACAAATTAAAGAATTCACAGTATTTTGAAATTGATAATATCATTATGAAAAATATTATCAAAAACGGCATATCATATATTTTTAACTTAAGCGAGTTAGATAAATTACATCAAAAACATAAACCATTAAAATTATTAATTGAATATGATATATTTGTTAAATCTACCTCATTTACTTTTTTTAATCATCTTCGTAATCGTACTTTAACATCAAATAATTTATTTGATATTTATTATTTTCTTAATAAAGACCTTTAT